AACCAACTTTACGACTGGAAATAAACTTCCCTGACTTAGTTTCCAAAAATATATATCTTTGTTTGTGTAATGTTTTTTATTAGCTTTGCCTGAAATACGTGGCAATTGAAAAACGAGTGCGTCGCGCCTGACAGTTTCACATTTATCCCAAATATTTATAGTTGTATCGTGACGTGCTTACGTCGGGATTTTATGTAATCTTTATATAAGAAATACTCAAGCAGTTTGACCTATGATTTATCGTAAAAATAACAGTATTTTTCCCACAAACCGTAGGCACTGAAATTAAATAGTATTTTAACTACAAATAGAGTAACGTCTCTTCAAATTCATAGATATTACCGTACTAGTAATTAATGACGCTTACAAAAAACTGAATCACAACACACAGATATCATATCAACTGCTCTGCTCTCAACCAGCACTGCTGGACATAGGCCTCTCCTTAGAAAATAGGTTCTGGCATACTATACTACGCTGGTTGGTATTATAGGGTTTGTGTCAAGTTTTCTTTCTCTTTGCAGTGCTGTTGTCTTGTGTAGTTTGCTCCCATAGTCGCATCTTATGACATCCTCAATGAATAGGGGTGGCGACACTGTATTCTTAATCCGTCACCACACGGAACATGCTAGCTATATATATAGTTAGATAAATCAATCATCATCATCATCAGCCTATCACAGTCCAATGCTGGACATAGACCTCTCCCATTGCACGCCACTTAAATGGATTTTGGGCTTCTCGCATCCAGCTCCTGCCAGCCATCTTGCGCAAATCGTCACTCCACCTGGCCTGTGGGCGTCTTACACTACAATTGCCGAGAAGAGGTCTCCACTCAAGAACTCGTTTTCCCCAACGGTTGTTCTGCGGCTAATACGGCCAGCCCACTGCCACTTCAGCTTACTGATCCGGTAGGCTATGTCGGTGACCTTGATTCTCTGCCGGATAACCTTATTCCCGATGCGATCCCTTAGAGAAACGCCGAGCATAGCCCTTTCCATAGAACGTTGAGCGACTTTGAACTTGTGGACCAGCCGTGCCGTAAGTGTCCACGTTTCGACTCCATATGTCATCAATTCTTTTTTATTACCTTTGTGGTTCGTTTCGTAAAAAATATCGAATTTATGACTGGTTTTACGCCTGACACCTCTTTGCAAACCTTAAAACTCATTATTTGATTAGTCCCAGCAATAAAGTCCTGTTCATCAGTTAAAATTAAAAGAAACGCTGGACATTTACCCAATATGTATGAAAGCTCCCCAGAGCAGTATTAGGTTAGGTAGATCATATTGTTTTTGTCAACTTATAGATTTATTTATATTGTTGTTTTTGTTTTATATAGAAATGAAAATTTCCACTTTAATAATATTAAGTGCCTACCAGCTTGTGCCGAAATTGTATGTGTAATCATTCACCAACGTCTGTATAAAAATAATGTTAACTGATATTAAGAAGTATATTTTTGAATGAAAGCTCATAAAAAGCAGATCCAATGATTGTATTTGTTTTGCTTTTTAAAGGAACTTCATGCAAGCACGTAGCGATCTATGCTTATAAAATTTAAAGCAGATTTTTGTTTTAAGCAAGCCATATTTTACCAAGATCTGAGTAATATTAATTAATTGTATGGCTGAATCTATTATTAAAATATTACAAATCTACATTTACCATACCATAATAATTAATGTCAACACTACCATTAGTAGTTGTTTACTGTAATTTAGTTTAATAGGGTAGGGCCGCGGGATAGGCGTATGTTCGTGAGTACCGTACCTTCCGTGATTAGTACGTCTAAAGATAGTCAAACATGGGTTTTTGGCACGAGACTAGACGGGTCTGCCAGGATCAACACGCCACTTCCACTGAACTTTTAAGCACAGGTGCGCGCGGCATACAGCCAATGATCATATTATTAAAACGTTTCTATAATAGTCTGTGAAAATAAATGATCGTTTTATTGCGAATGTTTTCTTTTTTTTTGTTTTAACTGCGTATTGCATTTGTGCGTACGTCTATTTTATTTGTGCACTCATAAAAACGTTTCTTGCTTTTTTATCAATTACTTTTTACTGTAAAATGTATTCACGGTATATTATTAGGTAATACAAAAATTACATGGCACACATACATACATTCCTACATACAGTCACGCTTCATTCCCGTCCGGAGTAAACAGAATCGATAGAAAACTATTTGAGACAGTTCTGATATATGGCTCGCATCTTCTCCCTATTCACCAGGCCTTTCATAAACGCTGGTCGGATACGGCTGCTTTTAACGTGTAACTTCTATGTGATGTACAAAATACAGCCGATCTTATCATTCAAATGTCGTTCCTGGCCCTCACCGGCTCGCTCACTCACATGGGCCTTATTAACTCTTAGCCATTCGTAGAGAAGAGATGTTTTTATTTTTATATAAAGCCTACAGCCGGTTGAAATGCATAATCAAAATAGTCCCATAATTTGGTTTGCACTTAAATGCTTCGCTGTTTTATTTATTATTCGTGCCGTATCTGATAGCACGGAAATGTAGATAAACGAATAATAAACTTTAAAACACCTACGTACATAAATAATGTTTCAATAATTAGTTCTTGACTACTATTCTGGCATCACTTAAACTACGTCATCATCATCATCAACAGCCTTTAATAGTCCACTGCTGGACATAAGCCTCTCCTGAGAAAGGAGGTTTTGGCCTACTATACCACGCTGGCCAGACGGGTTGGTATAGGGTTTGTGTCAAGTTTTCCTTCTCTCTGCAGTGCTGTTGTCCTGCGTAGTTTTTTCCCTTAGTCGGCTCTTGCGACACCCACAGGATAAATAGGGGTGGTGACACTCTGAATTCTTAATCCGTCACCACACGGTCGAAACTACGTCGCTTTACACAAATAAGTTGTAAATACTCTAGAACGCCTGTGCGTTACGTAAATAAAAACAGTACAAAAATTCTGTCAGTCTAGTGTCAAGAATAAGTTAATACTGTGACTGATTAACCATTTACTGCAGTAAACTTATTAAATTTTTATCGCAACACGGGAACTAAATTCCAACATGTGTTATGGGCTTATAAGTTTGTTGCTTGGATTTTTATACGTAGATTACAGGCCCGGAAATATTTCATTAAAAGAGACGGAGTAAATAAAGTGGCTTCTAAAATTTAATTGGACTAGGAACTTGTCGAAAAAGTTGTGAAGGCTATCATCGCTTAGCGCTCATGCCAGTAGTAAGAGGTTAGCTCCACCAGTCTGAAAATATGTACCAAGTACAAAGGAGAGCAGTACACTGCTTATTTCTACTACTACTATGATGTAGAACCCTAAATCTATGACACCGGTTCAAATGTCACTTTATAATTTCTTTATAGTTGGTTCCAGACGATAATATTCCTATTATTATGATGATTATGCTATAATCATGATTTTCCTCGTTTTATTATTTTTATTACAAATTAAATACTCATAAAAATTATAACAGTGAATTTGTACCGTGAAATTAATTTTAACGTCATGCTACGCGTTTTGTAATATACTCGTATTTATTAAATAAATACGGTATATAAGGTTAACCCACTATCGACAATACTGTAAAAATTAATCTCGTAGTAGTACGAGTATGTAGTCTAGTATAATTTGTTTAGTCTGTTGACAAGCTTTTGGTAACCACGGCGTTCAATATCAGTGTAACAGTGTTCTAATGAAATAAATTTCTGACATTTGAAAACAACGAAAGAAAAAACTGACCCAAAAATACATGTTTTAAAATAAACAGCATGTTGATTTAATTATTACTTGTGCCCACTTGTAGTTTAGAAATAGAACAGAGGCGTAGTATTTGACGTTTTCAGCATTGCATAGACGAAATAACGATGAATCAGATTTTAAAAAGAAAACAATTACTCTTGTTCCGCTTTTTAACCGACTACAAAAAGGAGAAGGTTATCAATTCGGATGTTTTTGTTTGAAAGGGGTTTATTCCGAAATGGCCCCATTTAAATTTCATATAGATCATATGAGGAATTTCGGAGACAGATAACGGAACTCTTAAAAAAATAACAGCAAATAAACCGCGATTGCTGCTAGCTTTTTAGTGATCTTTGTTAATATTGCTTGAAGTCGGTTCAACTTTTTTTTAAGAAGTATTTATGTATTCTAAATACATATGTCAAAATACATGACAGATAGAGCAATAAATAGTAGCTCCTATATGCTGTACAAACACTCGTCTGTACTGGTATAGTCGTTATCATCAGCGTTTCAGCGAGAGGACAGGACATCGACCGGCTAACTCCTTTCGTGAGTTTTTTTCTACTTATCTTGAAGTGAGATTTAGCTATCAAATTATGTTGAGTAAAATTTACTGAAGAAAAAAATATAAAACTATTTTAGATATGATTTTTTACAATAAACCTAAATTAATGTTAATATTTATATAATTAAATTTAATGTATAAAATAATTATAATAAGAGGTTTTAAATATGTTGCAGTTTAAATTGTTAAGCAATGGTTTCGAATTCTTAATTGTCTTTAAACTTAAAATACGTAATACCATTATTTTAATCTGACGAAGGCGAAAAACAGAAGCCATAAAATTAATACTCTTAAAACTGTATTTTCGCAAACATAAACTGTTGTTCTTCTGCTAATTTTACTTCCATTTAGAAGATACTGTAATGTGATGAAAGATACTTATTATTACGTGGCCAGCATTGTATATGTTTCTAGTAGTAACATTTACATAAAACGTGGTAAATGTTCTCTAAAACCTTTGTACGTAGCTGTTGCTTTACAAATAAAACTTCTGCTATTCGGGGATCTTTACACACTTGAATATTGATCTGATTAGTCTAGCCAACACAATTACAACAACATACAGTAACAATTTCTAAACATTTATGCATTTAACAAGATCATAGCAAATGCTACTATTTATAGCAAAAACAACCCAGTTGTTCGATTATTTTCTAAAGCAAGTTTATTTACGCGAATAAGTTTATATTAGTCGCCGTCTTTCAAAGGGCGCAGGGATGAATTGCCTTTTGTGTTTAAGCGTCGTGACGCGATGCGAATATCCGATGTTTGCGCAGGCTGCGCGCGTCGCGTACTTCCTGTCCTGTCACCACCCTCAGCCCCTCGGGCACAGTAGCGACGCCGGCCCGCCGCCGGCCGCTTCAAAATGTAACCGCACGCCCCGTGCATTCACAAGTCTTCCATTATGTATTAGTTCTAGATCTATTAGTCTTAAGAAACCAAGTCTTCCATTAGTTAAGTAAGTTTGTTAAGATGCAAAGGGGCAGAGCGTCGCGACGCGATCTAAATAACAGGGTTGTATTCGAACGCCTGTGGCGCGGCACGTTCCAAGCCGTGCTCGCGGGCCCGCAACGGAGGCCGCGCGCTTCCTCCCACGAACCTAACTCCGACATGTCCCTTGTGCCGGCCGGTGGCCATCACCAAGGCACTTCCAGTGTCGCTGACACGCTTGAACCAGCACTCAGGACCATTATCGAAGGCCTGAGAAATTCGTGCTGCTGTCGATGTAACTGTTCAGCGACAGAACGCAACAACATTAACGACAATTTGCAGGTCTGTCTCTCCAATGATGAGGAGAGGAAGTCCATGCGATCCGTTATAAGGTGTGCACATTATCGATCAGTTTATAAGCTACTATATTCCTTTGGGTCAGTGTTGTGCTAGGGATGTACAATCTACATTTAATTTAAATTTGGGTTCGCAGTGAAACAGGAATTCGTTGAAGTATACTATCGAGTATACTTTGTGTTTTAGACATAGTGTATTATGCGTAGGTTGTTTTTGACTGTAAGAAAATGATATTTATTGTTAAAATGGTGCTAAATATAACTATTTCCCTATTTTTAGCGCACTTAAGTGCCCTGATTAAGGTAAATATGAGTCCAATCCCATTTTTCTTTACATGCAATTCGCTAATGTGATTTAGTTCACTATGACAGTCAATGTTTTCATAACAATACTGCAATAATCCCAGGCGCCGTAGTGGTACACTGTACGGCGATTATAATGGTTTATATATGATCTTATTGTGTTGTCCAGCGTTCGCGAGACGCACGCGGTCGCAGAGGCGCAGCAAGCGAAGAACGCGCGGTTGCGCGACGCGTTCGGCATCTCACCGCGTTTCGTGGAGGGCAGTTCGCTCGACCCCGAGCGTCGCGCGCGTGAACATGCACAACGGTACCCGCTTATCAGGACACCCAGCCATGAAAGGGAGGACCGGGATTCGCATCCTGCTAAGAAGAAAAAGAAAAGAAGGTATTTATTTACACAATTGATTTTGAGAGGTTTAATAAAATCTTAAACTTAAATTTTTATTATTATGCTCTATCGTTTAGATTAGTTGAAAGGACAACGTCATACACATTTTTACAGGGAAACTAGTACCAGGTAATAAATGTGTTCATTTTTATGTCCTAAAAAAATAATTAAATAGTCATTAAACATTCTTCGAAAACATTTTGGCTACAGGAGGGGAAACCGCTTTTAACGATGTGGCTAACATTCACATGATAATGCTATTATACTGATATAGTGGTGAATACTATACGACACACTTTTTTTGACAATGGTAAAAATAATAGGAAAAAAAGTATTTGTCGCAGCATAAGTTTCATGCAGGGGGGGGGGGGGCTTAATAGAATGCCCTATAAAGTACTGGCGACCGTCACTATTAAATACTAGTAGTCGGTTATCGGGGTAAAAAGTAACCTGTCTTTTTCCAGAGTCAAAGTATTTCCATACCAAATTTTATCTAAATTGGTTGAGCTGTAATTGATTCTACATGCAAACTTTCAGCCCCCTTTCTCCGCCTTAATGGATGATTTATATGATAAAATTACCCTATGTCCATTCCCAGTATTCGGAGTATCTCTATACCAAATTTCATCTAAATTGGTTCAGCGGTTTAAGCGCGAAAACGTAACAGACAGACAGAGACACTTTCGCATTTATAATATTAGAATGGATACTTACTAATCTAGTTATAGTGGTAAAGCAACATGTTATGTTAGGTTACTATATGTTTAGGGTGCCTTTTCTTCTTCTTACTTCATCGCTTATTTTCTTCTGACTTTTTTTATTATTCCTTGCAGTGCCTCTCCAGAAGCGAAGAAGTTGAAAAAGAAAAAATCTAAAAAGAATAAAAAAGAGAAGTAAGTACTTATCATTACTTGTTTAAACTAAATCTTATTTATTTGTCATTTTAAATATTTTTTGTAAATGTTGGCCTAAATTTCATAGATTACATTTGAACCCAGACAGGTGACCCTTCGGTTAACACAAAGGCAAGTATAGCACCTATTTATTTAATGCCTTTTATATTTTTCTAATGCATTACAAGTATCAATTATGTCTGGTGATAATTTCAGCGAAAGAAAAATGTTGTGGAACTTCATAAATAGGTATGGTATTAGATTAGATTAGTTACTAAAACTTCGAACTTAACCATAGACTATTATGGAGGGTAGAGGTACGGGAGGAGGAAACTTAAGATGGCGTTGCTAAAGCGTTCCAAAAGATAATGAATATTTTCTATACACTTTTTTCTTTTGCAAATATCAAATTACAGTACATATGAGAGAACTCTACGTGATTTTAGTTTGGTTGTTGCCACTATTATTACATATTTTATTTTCTTTCATTTAGAAAAAAAAACAAAAATTTTAAAAGAATTAGATCAACTTTTTTATCCTGTGCAAAAAAATTAGTTCATCATTTCACCAGGGCCTCAATTCTGTTATTTTATATTAACGTACAAGCCACTGTCATTCCATTGACATCAGTCAAAATATTGGCATTCTACTAACATAAATTCACAGTGTTAATAGACTGCCGATGTAGTAACAATGGCTCATCAACTGATTGACATATCTGGAAAATAAAATAAAATTTTGATTTCCTTATAAATTTAAAATGTACCGTTTACCAAACTATTACAAAGACATCGACGACATTTGTATCAGTGACAAGTCATCGGGCCATTGGTCCATTGGTCTTACATAGTTAGTAGAATAGGAAAAGTGCAAAACTATTCCGACGAGATTCAATCGACAGTCTGTTGACACAATATTAAAATGGCAGAATTGACGCCCAGGGCTGACGGTGAAGTGATATGTCGTGTCAAGCACCATACGGTGTGAGTCTATTACAAGGGACTCGAGTGTGTCCCTGAAAATTAGATTAACTTAGGTTAGGTATTCTTTCATTTACACCCATAGTCTACCACACTGTTTTAGCATCTCATATTTATTTAATTATGTAATTACGTAAGTTAGTAGAATAGGAAAATCTATCTGTATGACAAGTTCTTTTAAGCTTGTGAAACAGATAAGGAAGTGATTACGAAACAAATATCATGAGCAAGAAATATGAGCTTTTGCATCAAAATTTATATTGTTTTCTTAATTTTCATTGCCTAAAATATAAATTTGACTTTGCCGTTTTTACTACCCAGAGTGCTTCGGAAATCGGATTCAATTAGGCTGTTAAGCCTGATTGAATCCGATTGGGAAGGTGACTCACCAGATAACAAGGCCCTTTTTGGATACTAAATGTTATACTCAAAATAAAGTGCTAACTACAAACGACTTCTTCTACTCCATCAATTAACGTTATCTGTAGTTATTTTCATTGATTACATTATTCACTATTTTAAGTTCCATTTGAGAAAGCTCACTTCTACCTCTCATAGTGGTACTAATTACGCTATACTAATCATTTCCCTTATTGGTTCAGTTAAAGTTAAGTATATGATTTCCTTAAAACACGTTACTAATATCAAGTTGTGAAAATATATAAACAATAGAACGTAAGTTGGTTTTGTCAGTTTACTTTTATAAGAAAACTAGCTTTTGCGCTCCCATAAATGTAATTTTTCCATTCCCCCGAAGCTATTCTATATTAAGTGTCTTATGTCGTTTTCTATATCCCTGGCAACAAAATGTTTTCAAATTATAACGTCCACCGGATAAACGACAAGGGAAATCATAAAATACAAACAAATCTTAATTGTATAAAAAGGTACATTACTATTACGAACTGGATTTAGTGGTCAATCAATTTTGCTCACGTAAAAATTAAATTTTGCATGTAAAATTTACAATAACAGTAAATTTTGCGAATAAATGTGTGATTAAAAATAACAATCAAAGAGCGATTCTGGTGAAGAGAATCAATTACATCAAAATAAGTTTTAAGTATGCTAACATACAAAAATATTTGGTTCCACTACAATATGAACGTTTATTTACCAGTGTTAACAATTTATTGTATAAAGAGGAATAAATTTTTATATGATCATATCTGTGTCAATGAACTCCATCTATCACTATCTAAAGCGGCAATATACATCAATTGTATGGGGTTTTTGGCCAACCTTTGAAATATAATTTTAGATTTTATCTAGACTTCATTTGTGTTATAAAATATACAAGTTTTATAGTAGATTATACAATAATTATTTTGTAAAACGATATTTAGTGATTATTTTAAAAGTCGAGCCTAAGTTATATTGTTCTACAATATTATTTTACTTTTGACAAAGCAATCTATTTTTGCAGATGGCATTTTGTGTTGGACTTTTTGATTAAACAGAAACGATTAAAAATATTGTTATGATTGGTTATTATCGAATAATAGGTATCTGATGAAACCCAGTCATGTGTAATTACCATTATATAATACGAATTGTAATTTAAGGGAATTATGTGATTAAAACCACGCAATAAGAGGGAGCTTAGACGCTCTTGCAAAAATGTGTCTATGTGGTTATTGTTAAGTAAAAAACACACGCGAACGAGCGTGCCGCACGGACGTGTTGCTGGTTTATAATAAAATTCTAATTTATCGGTACATCGTAAATTAAACTTTCATACTTCGTCACCAAGATAGTGATTACTGTGTCGTTCACTGCAACCTGCTGAGTCTTCTAAGCACCAGAAAAGAGACAACACCTGATTTTTAAACTCGGTCACTCGGAGTGCCGCCCGACAGACTAAGTACACCATCGAATCATCAAGTAACTACAAAGATGTCGTTAATGCGATCGCCTGGAAGTGGCTCGAATATTGGACGGAGCGGATCTCAACCGAATCTTGCCGTTGCAGGTACGTCTGCTCAGACACTCTCTGAAGCATCTTCAATTGCCTTTCGTAATAAGCGTAAACATGGAAATGAAAGCGAAGTTCAAACTCAGTTAGATAGTATTCAAAAACAAATTACAGATATGATGGCACTATTAACATCATCTGTAAATTCGCAAAACGAGAACTATGCAAAACTGAGCAAAGATGTTGTCAGTATCAGAGATCAAATGCAAGACATCAAAATTATAATGAACGTAAATGAGCTGAAGGTAGAGAATATATCTTCTGAGCAAAAAGAAATCAAGTCTAACATCAAAAATCTTAGCAACTCTATGCAAATGGCTGACGAAAAGATTGCGTCATTAGAATCCAACATTAATGAAATTGGTAAGTCTGCTATACAGTCAACATCTAATGATAAATTTAGGTACGATGATATATTGATGGAAATAAATGAGCAAAACATTAGGAAAATGAATGTATTGATTGCGGGTATACCAGAAGCCAAGTCGAGTAATACTAAGGAACGCTTCGAATTGGATAGGGCTGAAGTTATTAAAACTGTGAAACCAATTATGGGAGATAACCCTAAGCTAAAAACGGTGTCACGTCTTGGACGATACAAGCCAGGAGTTAACCGTATAACTAAAGTCAGCTTTGAATCAGAAGAAGATGCCAAAAAGATTCTTCGTAATAGAACTGAACTGCAGCATTCCTTAGTAAAAATATTCCCTGATCAAACTCCATACCAACAACAACGATATAAGAGCCTGAAAAGTGAACTTATCCAAAGAACATCAAATGGCGAACGGAATTTAGTAATAAAATACGTCAAGGGTTTGCCCAGGATTGTAAATACCGATTCAAAAAACTAACTAATGCCAATCTAGAACGTCGACAGCACACTAATATTATTTACGAAGCTCTAAATAACTACGAAAACTTAGGCAGCAGCAGAAATTCCTTGAAGTTCTTTTATGTTAATGCTCGAAGTATTGTGAAAGATGGAAAGTTCGATGAATTATGCTGTATTATAAAATCAGTTAAATCCGTTATACATATTATAATACTAACAGAAACATGGTTGAAATCTGATGACGAAGCTAAACGATTCCAGATACCGAATTACACGCATTATTATAATCATAGAAAGGGTAATGTTGGTGGCGGCGTTTCTATATTTGCCCTTAATAGGCTCAAGCATTTTTATATTGAAGGCGTTTCTCAAGGTGATAATCAATTTCTTTGGATACATCTTGACAAATTTTCGATGGATATTGGAGCGGTGTATAAACCCGGTCGAACGAGTGATAAACCTTTTTTTGAAGAGTTTTCAGATCAGTTGCACCGACGCCATAGGGCTGTCATTATGGGTGATTTTAATTTTGATTTACTTCAAGTAAACAACTCCACTAAAAACTATAAGGACATCATTATTGAATCTGGCTACAGAATATTAAATAAAATAAGTCCTAAACACTGCACCCGACACTCAGAGACCAAAAAATCTGTGATTGATCACGTTGTTACTAACATAGCCGAGAACCAATTCTATTTGGCAACTATCGAATCACCTATGTCTGATCACAAGCAGATTTTTCTTGAAATAAATAAGTACCAAACACCACCTAAACAAAAAATCCAATACGAAGCAATAGATTATGAAAATTTTTATTCATTGGTGGAAGATATAAAACTAGATGAAGATAATATAAATTACGCTGATTTTGAAGTGAAATTATTAAAAGCATACAAAAAATGTAAAATAAAAAAGACGAAAATTCTGAATCGTCCACGGCAAGATTGGATTAATGCAAGCATTTTGGATAAAATTAACGATAGAAATATTCTATACCAGCAACACAAAAAAAAACCAGACAATGAAAATATCAAGAATGAATTTAAGTCTAAAAGAAATTTGGTCTCTGAAGAAATTCAGAAAATGAAGGCTGAATATTACCATAAAAAATTCTCAAACTGCAGCAATGAGCCAAAGAAGATGTGGCGCCTGATTGATACTCTAGCACATAACAGACACAGAGACGACTCTAAACCAGCTAAGCTCACAAAAGGAACTATGGAATTGTCAGACGGAAACGAAATTTGTGAATATTTTAATGACTTCTTTGCAACGATAGGTGCAGTACTAGCTGAATCATTACACGCTACTTATGCTGGTGCTGATATCTGCACTGCGACAGGAATCGATAACAGACCTGCAGAAAATTCTCTAGACTCTTTAAATCCAGCTACAGGTAATGAAATCTTAAAAATAATTGATAAATTAGATGATAATACTAGTTCAGGCATTGACAATATAAATACAAAATCTATAAAATACGTTAAAGACAAAATTGCCTCAAAATTAACCATATGTATTAACAACTGCTTTGAGTTAGGTCATTTTCCAGATAGCTTAAAGATTGCCAAAGTAACACCAATTTATAAGGCAGGGTCGAGGGCAGATCCCAATAATTATCGGCCGGTATCTGTTCTTCCCGTGATTTCGAAAGTATTTGAGAAGGTTATCTACAATCGATTGGAAGCCTATTTAAACTCAATAATTTTTTTATACCCTAAACAATATGGATTCAGGCCGAAATCAAATACTCTATCTGCAACAGTGGATTTAACAACCAAATTAAAAAATAGTATAGATGAAAAAAAAGTTGGGCTAGGCATTTTCATCGATCTCAAAAAAGCCTTCGACACGGTCAGTCATCAAATTCTTTTGGACAAGCTTGATGCTATTGGGCTTTCTGGAAAGGCTTATAAAATTTTTGAATCTTATCTCGCGGATCGCTCTCAAGTTGTTAAAATCGGAGATCACCAAAGCTCCCTACATTCTATAACCTACGGAGTTCCCCAGGGGTCTATTTTGGGGCCCCTTTTGTTTTTGATATATATAAACGATATAAGTAAACTTAACCTCAAGGGAGATCTATCACTCTATGCTGATGATACTAGCCTGTTCTATTTTGGGGACAACATAGACTCAATTACACAGGATGCTCAAAATGATCTTGATCTTATTAATGACTGGTTCTACTCAAATCTCTTGACTATCAACACCGATAAAACTCATTATGTAATATTTGCAGCCAAAAATAAAATCCATAACGAAGTTGTTACACTTAAGATTAATAATGTATCTATTAGTAAATCGGAGCAAGAAAAATATTTAGGACTAATATTGGACAAACATTTAACATGGAAACCGCATATCGAAAAAGTTAAATCAAAATTGACATCTTTGACGGGTGCCCTGCGAGGTATAGTTCGATGCTTGCCACGGAACGTTCGTTATACTATTTACAATTCGCTAGTTAAACCACACATAGATTACCTTATCGAAATTTGGGGCTTAGCGGCTAAGACAAACCTTCGTTCGCTACAAATATCACAGAACAGATTGATTAAAAGATTATTTAACTATAATTACTTCACACCTTCTGCAAAACTTTACAAAGAAACCAAAATAATGAATATTGATAACACATACAAATACAATACATGCATCTTAATACGTAAAATACTAACAAAAAAAATACACACTAATATCTCATTCCAATTAAGAAGTGAGGATAATCGGTTAAGGCGACTACGGCGTACTAATAATTTAGTACTACGCCCTCCTAGAACTAACTATGGCAAACATAATATAACTTATGCGAGTGCTCAACTATTTAACAATTTACCAAGTTCTATTAAAGATAAAAGACATTTAAATACATTCAAAAAAATATTAAAAGCCCACTTGCTAAACGAAAATAAATAAACAAAAAAAAAAAAAAAAAAAAAAAAAAAAAAAAAAAAAAAAACTATATCCATTTAAAAGTAACCCATTGTCAAATTTAGAAATACATAAATTAACAATTAAATTAATCACTTATTAAAGATGCAACGCTTAGCTGAACTTGTTAGTCAATAATGTATCGCATCTAGTGTTTTACTATCTTTGTAATGTGTACATAGCATTTGGTCTAATGTTTGAATGTAGGTAGGATTAAAATAATTTTGTTTCTGTTTGGGTTGATAAAATTTAAGTCAGTAGAACTACCTATGTATGTGTACCTCCTTTATTTATTTTTTTAAATGTAATGTTATTAACCACATATTATTTGTGATGCATTTTGTTAGCTTTGATACTGTTTGAGGATCTTGTTGTTAAAATTGGTAAAAGGTAGGTAATTATTTCAATTTTTTTTGTTACTTCACATGCGTATATACATTTAGACCCTCATTGTCACATAATATTAATTTTTTACCCATGCATGCTCATCGGAATATTTAATAGTTATTAATGTATAAATTCTCATGTAAGTGAATGTACAATTCTTATGAGAATAAAGATTTCTGAAACTGAAAGGTTTTTGTCTTTTACAAACATATAAACAGTGTGATTATGTATGACATTGGCTTAGAGACGTATAAACGCCATTGCTCTTTAATTTGAGTTTTGTCATTGACGGACACAGCTGTTCAAGCTGTGTCCGTCAATGACAAAACTCAGACTCAGGTATTTCTCTTTAGATTTATTTGGTCAAATATTAGGTGGTATACAGAACACAGTTTTTGTTCTTTGGAATAAGAAACTTTGGACTTGTCTATAAAGTAATTAAAATGACTCAAATTAGAGACTTGTCTACACTCGATTCTTATTCCGAAGAAACCAAATTATTCGAAGACTATGATTTAAAATACAAATTGTCATCAGGCAAGAATCTAGCAAGAAAAAGAAGAAACGCTCCAAATCTCCTGACACAGACAGTTCTTCGAGCTCCGAGGGGCATGACAGCGACACCGCGAGCTCAGAAGAAGACAGACAAAAAAAGAAAAAAAAGGTAATTGAAACTTTTTAATTGCCTTTTGCAACAATACCTAGGACTAGGAGTTCTGCCTTCAAAGATTATGTTTGTTTCGCTTCGAATATTAAATTTTGCTTAAATACTTTTTACAATTACTTATTACAAATATTTACAATTATCGAGAATATGGAAAATGAAGAATGGAAACAATGTTAGAAGCCCTCTTGAATCTAGGAAATCGAAAACATAATCTTTGATTCAAAGGTCTAACTGTGTGGGGTTTGGGTCCAACAATATAGAATAACTCCACACGATACCTCCATAGATCTAACTCGGGATTCTTCCGGTGCCTACGACTACACTTGACTTCACAACCTTACTCAGATAATGCTCCGTCCTTTTCTAGCATAAAACGAGCTCGCAACTACCAAGTAGCACATTGCTTTCTTTATTTTTTATGTTAATTGATGTGTTACGTACACATTGGCCTGATATAATAAATTCTCGGCACTATCCTCTGCATAAAAATATTGGCTTCACGAATTTTGGTTTGTGTATAATTTCCTCACTCGGCCCTGTCTCCATCCCTCTCTTCTGCGTTAGCCATCTATCGAACTAACTGTAGTTGTCACAAAGTTTGATTTACCTTAATCGTACGTCCCAACAGTGTTCCGAGCGTCAAGTGTTAAAGCTGATCGTACCCTCTCGCCCTATGCATTTATGTTTGATTAGATCCGTGTGGGTTGACGAATCGTAATTTTTAATTATTGTCTTTTATCTCATTTTTATTTTATTTTTCTGTAAATACAAGAAATAGCCAGTAAAAATTATCTGTTTAACTGTGCATCATTTCATAGGATAGCCATCTTTATCTGAAGAAATAACGTATACTGTAAGTATATCACAAAACAATAACACACAGTAAGAACACTATGTTAGGTCAATACTAAAATGTACTCCGGGATAATTTTGTGACTAATATTGTGACTGTGACAGAGTGCAAATGGGGTGTGTAAGGGTCCAAGTGTGCACTGTTCTTACATGCATGGTGTTTGTAGCCCTTAAAACAGATGGTGGTTTAATTGTTCGTGTACGCGACCTAACCAAGTGTGTGGTACATAAACGACCTTGTAAAGCGCCCGAAAGGGACAATAAATATCAAAATACATAAGTTCAAGAAAGTTGATTAATATGTGCACGTTTTTATATCACACACAGTTTATTAATATCCAAATGTCTGATTATTAAAATGTAACTAATCCATAACATTCTCCCTCTTCTCATTTATCCAAAACTAATTAAGGATGCTCCACATGTTTAAATGGTATACAATACCACCACCGTTTGTTAAATAAGGTACGTTACCGAAGTGTTATATTATACATTTGATTTTTGTGTTTTACATGTATTTATGTACATTATATTGAACCGTCATGTGTTACTAACATAAATGTATTATAAGTAACGCACCGGTGCCAACCAATTTGAAAACTATATCAATTTATTTACTCTCATACATGTATATATTTGTTTCTTCTTGGTTTACACCATGAGAATGTTATGGATGCGCTCTAATATAACATTCTAAATAACATCCAAATAACACTTCAAAACAATTACATCTTTATTTATACTCGCTTCCATCGATAGCTTTAAGTATAATTTTGGTTTTCTACTGTAAATTTTTGTTTAACGCCTCAATTTTTACTATTCCTTATTAGTATTGCATGTGTAAAAGTGATTATTGTTTCTTTTTTATTTATTGAAATTCTTCATCCGGTTTATTGACCTCTGAAGAATTTCGTATACAATTATTAGTGGACTATATTTATTTGCCTTTACCACTATAGTCTATTGTATTGGCACTGGTGTTATATCCCTGTCTGTTGGAACTATTATATTTACCTTTTATCGAATTTTTAACAGAAAAAGTTGAGTAGCAGACGTCGCGGCAGCAGCGAAGCTTCAAGTCGTGAGAGGTGAGTAAATTAAATGTCCTTCTTGTTAGACACTTGCACTACAGTGTATCACGCATCTGCACTGCAGACCGCAGATACTACTGTCGGCTAGATTTACATAAAGCCCTATCAATCAAATATTTACCTTTTTGTTTTAGTTCCCCAGCGAAATATAAAAAGGATAAAGAAAAGCCGAGGGAACGTACGATTGAAGATAGGACAAACGATATTAAACACAGAAAATCAGACAGAGATCGTGAGGATCGTAACAGGAAATACGACAAACGAGAGGAACTTCCCTCCAGGGAATCGCGACTAATTGACAGAAGACGTGATCGTAGCTCTTCTAAAGATGACAGAGATTCCTCGCCTGAGTACAAGCAGCGATCGTACATCACTAAAATAGAAAATAAGAAAAAAGAACCTAAAGAACCTTCTGAAGATGGTGAAAGGCGCAGAGGGTCCAAGTATTCAAAACGAGATCGTCAAAGATCTTCCCCTGAATCAGAATCGGAACCTTCTAAAAAAGGAGAAAAGAAGTATAACAAAAACTATAGAGATTCCAGTGCATCACCTCCGCCAGAGAAAAGACGGCGTAAGAGTTCCTCCGCAGAATATAGAAAGCGAGATGATAGTTATTACAGCAGAACCGAAAGAAATGCTATAGATAGTAGTAGCAGAGTTCACAGAGATGATAAAGATGAAAGAAGAGCTCCTAGAAGAAGTGAATCTCCAGATTATCGTAAAAGAGAATCGAACAGCAGAAAAGAGGAAGATAGAAAGTATGAAAAAAGTAGTAAGAACAATCATGAACGTTATGAAGAGGCGCACACCAAGAGAAGGGAAAGTAGCAGTGACAAATTACGAAAGAGGAAGGATAGAAGTGTGTCAAAGGAAAAGCGAGATACATCACCAGAATACAAGGATCGATCTCCAATTAGCAAACGTATTAAGAACAGACAAGATTCCAGAAAAGATGGAGAAAAAAAAAGTTCTAGATCAGAAAGGAAATATTCGTCTTCTGAATCTGAGTCAGAATCACAAACTAAACAAAAGTCACGAGATAGTAAGAATACTAAAGATAAATCTCGTTATTATAAGGAAAAGAGCCCTTCACCAAGGGAGCAGTGGAAGCGAAGTCTCACACCCAGGGATCAAAGGAAGCGGAGTCCCACACCCAGGGATCAGAGGAAGCGAAGTCCCACACCCAGGGATCAGAGAAAGAGTAGTCACACACCCAGAGATCAGAGGAAGCGGAGTCTCACACCCAGGGATCAAAGAAAGCGAAGTCCCACGCCCAGGGATCGGAGGAAACGTAGTCCTTCATCCAGGGATCAGAGGAAACGTAGCCCTTCATCCAGAGATCAAAGGAAACGTAGCTCTTCAACAAGAGATCAAAGGAAACGTAGTCCTTCACCCAGAGACCAAAGGAAACGTAGTCCTTCACCCAGAGATCAAAGGAAACGTAGCGTATCACCTGAGCATCGAAGAAAAGAATCGCCCTCCAAAATCAAAGCAGAAAAATACAAATCTCGACAGAAGTCTGTAGAGAAACAAGAAAATAGTAGACCAAGCAGAAAATCGCCCTTGATAGAAGAAAGGTCAAGACGTAGAAATTCTCCAAGCAGATCTAAATCACCCACACCACGTAAAAATCTAAAAAAGGATAAGCGAAAGAGTCAAACACCAAGTAAGAAAATCAAGAAATCTTCAGAAAGGCGTATTTCCTCTCCAAAAGACGACCACAGAGATAGGCAAATCAAAGAGAGAAACGGTCGAAAAGACTCACACAGAGACAGGTCGAATTCTCGGTCACCTCACAAAAGCAGAAGTACCTCTAGTCTTAGCTATTCACCTGCACGTCGTAGCCCAGAACGTTACCGTGATATAATAGAGAAACTCCCAGAAAAAGATAAACGCAAATACATAAAATCGCCATCTGATCTGCATCCTAAGAAGAAAAAGAATAAAGACTTAGCAGAAAATTATAAACCCATGGCTGTTTGCATGCGTAGTTCATCTAGCGAAAATGAAGAAATAGAAGATGATTTTCTGCGGTTAGACGACAGAGACCGGCAAGATGAATTAGACAACAAAGAATTAAATAGACTGAAGGAAAGACTGGCTCAACTCGCTAAAGCATCCATGGAGCGGCGAAGAAATGAGGAAACTAATGGACCTTCAACATCGCAAGCTGGACGCAGTGACTCTCAATCAAGGGACGAAGAAAGGATTACAAGGCCAAGCTCAAGTCCAGAGTTAGAGACCGAAAGAATAAAGTCTCCGGAAGTAGAAAAAGAAACAAAAAAGAGTGAAGAGGAGCAGTCAGTTCAGAAGAAAGAGAAGAGTCCGCTACCTGAAATTTCTTCAGATTTAAAGAAACGTGAAAGAAGTAAGTCAAGGCGAAGCTGGTCAAAGTCTTCGTCAAGGCGGTCGCGGTCACGATCTCACTCTCGGAAGTCACGGTCGCGCGGCAAATCGTCACGGTCGAGGTCGCGTTCACGCTCTCGTTCTTCGCGCTCCAGATCTCGCTCTTATTCGTCTTCAAGGTCAGTATAATTCTTTATTTTGCCATTCCTATGAAGTTGACATATAAGTATTAATAAAAAAAATGTAGAAAACTTAAGATTATAGCCACTTACAAAAAAATTGACATTTATAACTTTATAGACTTTATAGAACAGTAAAAAAAAAAACAAATTTAAAATCACAAATTCAGATGTCTGTTTTCCTAAGAAATCTCGAAGTCAAATTGTTTCTTTCAAATAGTCATAAATAATATTTTATATTTTAAAGTCACTGTAAGAAAAGCTTATATTTAACAATCGTAAAATAAAACCTTTAAACCGTTACCCATTTATAATGAAACCAAAACTATAATTTTCCAGGCGGTCCCGCTCCAGTCGGTCAAGCTCGTACAGCAGCAGGAGTTCGTCGCGCTCGTCACGCAGCTCTTCGCGATCCACGCGCTCCTCTAGGTACTAACATCTTAATATATATAAATCTCCTGTCACGATGTTTGTCCGCGATGGACTCCTAAACTACTTAACCGATTTTAAATTAAATTGACACACCGTGAGCAGTCTGGTCCAACTTAAGAGATAGGATAGCTTAGATCTTTAATTATAGTCGCAATTTTATTTTATTGCAAATTATTGGTCTATAATTAATTGACAGTTACAATTATCTGTTAACTCCAAAAGATTCTAACAGATGTCGATACTTTTCGACTGGATTGAGTAAGTAATCAATAGATGGCACTGCTATGGTAAACCGACAAATGTATATGGCAAAACAACGTTTGCGGGGTCAGCTAGTATTATTATATATTTTAGTATATTATCACTTTAAAATACAGGTTTTAACAATTAAATAGATAAAAGTATCGATTTAAAATAGTTCCACAGTAGAACATGTGTATATTGAGTACAGTGTTAGAGAGGCAGAACGTTAGGGGTAAAGTGGGGTAATAGTCTGAACGTTCGAAATTACTCCTCACGGTCCGTTAGCATTGCCCGACAGTATTAAAAAACTAAAATATATATTTCAACTAATAGGTTATATTTGTAATTGTCGTTATCGGTATTGCCATTAGAAACTTTGATTTGCTTGTATTCTAGTACGTAAACCTTATATAAAAAAATATAAACAAACTACATTAAATTAGTTTTAAGCAAAAATACCATCCATCCATCCAAAAATTTGTAAAATTCGTAACTTGACACACCCGTGCATTCGGTCGCTTCATGCGTACTGGTACTAATAACTTAAGAAGCGTTATTATTTAAAGATACAGACAAAACATTGTTATTTATTACTGACATAGTAACACTGTTTGATTTGGAATTACTCAACGTTTGTGTTTCCCCCACTTTCCCCTATTGTTTACGATTCTTGAACAAAATGCAAACCTCAATTTTGCATTTTGCGTACGTTTTATTACACTGTTAATGAAATTCTATCAACTGTTAAGACTAAATTGCAACAAATGTTAATTGATAGCACGGAAGTAGGATATTGGTTTGTTGCAATTTTTGTAAGCACGGTTTTGAATTGTATATAGGACTGTTACACGTGCTAAGCCAGAGTCGGTTTCTAGTAATGACATAAATATACTTTATATTTTTCAATGAGTCGCACGTAAGACCTATGGGTATGGTATAGGGAAATTTAGACTTGAGCTATGGAACTTAGGCACAGATCTAGGTGGCCATTTAATCATATCAAACGTGTTCCAATAATTTATTGATAAAATCGTAGATGAATCTTAGAAAATCTTTAGGAAACAAATACGTATCTAATAAAAGTGTTTCTTGAATTTAATTGTTGAAACTTGATAAACGACCTGTTTCTGTTGAAGTCTTTTTAAGACGCAAGTAATTAAAGTTAACATTTCGTCTAGTTCAAATATCATCATCGACATCATTTAATAGTCAACTGCCGGACATCGGCGTCTCGTTAGAAAGTTCAAATAATTTCTAATAAAATATAAAATCCCGACAGAAACAGTTTTTAGAATTATACGTAACTATCAAAATAATTAACATAAAAATATTTCTGTTTGTCTATGAAATCGAATCTATCGAATGCATGCATGCGTATACCGATCGATACGATCAGAACAATGACGGGCGTGTACGCCGATTACCGTAGATCGAGCGCCCCGCGCGCGCGCACGCGCTCGCGCTCGCCGTCCATCCCGCGCCGCGCCGGCTCGCCCAGCTTTCTGGACAGGCGCAGGATCACGAGGTGACCGTGTGACGCTGCAGGCTTCTCGCTGCTGCTTTACTTCTCAGCAAACTGATAGCGACCGCCGTCTTTATTCGAATACCGTTATCGATCGCTATCACTTTGCTTCACATAACCATAACAGTTTATTTCTTTTTTAATTTGTAAAGCGAGCGTAGTGAAAGCACAGTATTTTGATTAGGAATTTTTATAAGTGTAATCATTTGATATTTTTATTTGATACGTTATAAGTGCATTATTAATAAATGAGCTAATTCTTGAACAGTTTACAAATAAATTTATCCATGATTACACTATGTACCTAACGTTTTCGGTGTGTTGCTTGTATACTGAGTTTCATGTTGTAATTATAGATGTGTGCTTGTTATTTTATTTGAGTTTGTGTCATATCATTTAGTTGTAAATAGTCATTCATTATTACATGTTCACATATTATTATTTTCTTACGATCTGGGCATTACAGTCGAGGCACTTTTGTCTATACACATAAATAACACTGGAATACTGTTCGTGGATAAGAGGATCAAAATTAGAGACGGATGAACTGCAAACATTAATTTGTTCTTATATTGGTTAATAATAGTCCGAATACGGTTTTTACTCAAAGAAAAATGCAAAATATTTCCCAGATAACTTTCATAAAATATAAACAAGGATCTGTCGGGCTTAGCCTTACTAACAATAAAGTACTGCACGGATGGCGTAGTGGCTTAAGCGGTCGCCACGCCGCTTCCTACTGCGCTAAGTCTTGTGGGTTCGATCGTCTTGTGTGGTTCGCCACATAGGACACCACTATGTGTGATCCACAAATTGTTGTTCTGAGTCTGGGTGTTCTTTGTGGTCATCAAATGTATGTTTGTAAAATCCCCCGAGACACGGGATATATGCCCCTAATGCGGGAGTTAATATAATTTCTTAACAAACTACAGTTGCGAAAAGCAACTGTCGCAAGCTTAGAAATTTTTCATCTATCTGATCTAGTGCATTTTTTTGTAATGAAAGATACCTTAAAGATAAAGAAACCCGAAACCCGGTATTAAGCAGCTCTGTGCTTTTAGCCGAGTTAGACATCCGGAGCTCCAAACCAAAATCCAACCTTCCATTTGGAACTCTGGAATTTGACTCAAAGGGCTGCAACCCACTTGTGACTGACATTGACATCGGTCAAATATCGGTATTCTACTAACATAAATTCACTTTGTCCATAGACTGTCGATATAGTAATATAGGTCACCAATGGTGATATCAACAACATTGCCATACCTGGAGAATGAAATATATCAGTTTCTTACTAATTTAAAATGTACCGTTTACCAAACTGTTAGAAAGACATCGAGGACATTTGTATTAATGGCTAGTCATCGGGAGGCCATTGGTCTTACATAGTTAGTAGGATAGGAAAAGTGCAAAACTTCCGACGAGATTCAATCGACAGTTTATTGATACAATATTAAAATAGCAGCATTGAGGCTCAGGTGAACCGTCTGGCCCCAACACCATAGAAAAACATAACAAACAGACACTTTAAATGACCTAATATTAATAATGACCTATACAATGCTCCTCTTCTGCGTTGACCCATAGTTGACAATATCATGGTTTTGTTGTAGACTTATCCATAGATTGTAAACACTATTTTAGCTTCATGATATGGCACATAATTTTCTTATTATTTTCTTATCTATTTTGGTTTTTTTTTCCTTTATAGAAAAAAGTCCCGAAAGTATAGCACGAGTTCTGAAGACACGAGTAGTAGCTCCGATTAGTGAAGTGATTGTGCTAGAGTGGTTTAGTTTAAGTAATATTATATATATATATACTTGTAATAAAATATTAAGTCCTACCTTCATTAATATATTCATTAAACCTTTCATTATCTTTTTTATTATTATTTTTTCGCATCCTTAGCATTAAGTAGAATGAGAAAACTTAAGTATTATCAAATATGATGAACTAAAGGAACTGAGCTTATTTGTTCTCATTTTATTTCGTGCTGTTGCTATTATTGGGTTTATATTTAATCGGAACTTATATAAAATACATTCTCGTTTTGGCCGTGAAAATTATATAAATACTCATTTCATTAGCCTGTATTTTATTAATAATGTGTTTGAGTCTGTTCCTCTAACAATGATCATGCTAACAGGGTGTGCTACTAAATAGAAGTTAATTTTTATATTTATTATAATAAAAAGAAAAATGTCCTATTTTATCTGTATTACTTATCTTTTTAATGTCTACTTATAAAATAATTTAAGACAAGTTAAATATATTGTGAAAGTTTGGAGAGAATATAAGGTTTAAATATAAATTAACAATGATTCCTTTCCTCCGTAGCGCACCCATAATAGATCTAACGTACACGTCAAACAAATTCAAATATAGAAGAAGATAAGCCAAATGTGTGGGAGGTTACAGTGATCGCCGCCAGATGTAGACAGTGTGCTATATAGAACATGCTGCCAGTGTTTTCTGTTTCAAGATTATTCAGTTTGTTTAACACATTAAAGTTGATTGTGAATATTTTTGTTTTTATTTTATCATATTGCTGCATGGTAGCCGATTAGCAACACTTTTTTTTTGTAAAACAGGCTTTGGATGCTCGATTTTATTTTGCTATTTTTGCAGTCTTTTGAAATGGTAAGTAAAAGATTCAAAATTACTATTACTTTATGTTCATAACTAAAAATAAAACTTTGGCGATTTCGATACTCGCATGAAATAAAAACATTTGAGATCCTTTGCTCTGTGGGGTTTATTTTAATCCCCGATCCACAGTATAATACGCTGGTCGCCTACATTATAAATGGTCGCTATGCTAGTAACAGCTTATAAATATATTAGTTTGTAATATTTCTCTTTATTGATTAATAATTAATTGATAAAATAATTGATTGACTTTTTGTGATGTTTGAAAAACATAAAAAATAACATGCAACCAATTAATAATGATCCATACTGAAGAAGGTATCAGAGTGTATAAGGGTTTCTTTTATAAATCAGTTTTACCTGCGTAAACTTTTTATGAGTATTGCAACATTTTAAATTTTATTTTGAATATTTGAGTTTTTTTTATAGTATTTCATGTTTTTGGCATTGTGAAGAAACTTAACAATTATGTTTTTGACGCTGTGAGAGTGATTGACCAGCTGAGGGTCCTTACTCGTTATTTTGTTTAAAAAACGTAAATTTATGGAATATAATCACTACGTTCAAATCCGAGTTCTCTGCGCATGCATGCCTATCATCTAACTACTAACATCGCCATTCTACTAACAAATAACAAATTAACAACAGTGCTCGAAAACGCCCGATCCCTTACCGGAGGCCTTCGCCTTCGACACCATCCACCGGCTACAGCAGCAGGTCTACACAACGAAGCTGGTCCCAATCGCCGCGGGAGGAAAGAGAATAACCACGTTCACACAAAGCTTTTTGTTACCAATTCACGCGATTCAGAGCGAGAAACATAATCTCACTGTAACTGAATAAGGAAGATCCTGGGTATAAAGATAGCATAAGGATAGAAAGTCAGTTTCCGTTTTACCTACATAATGAATTTTATTAAGGGATTACACTAAATGGCTCTTCGCCATTGAAATTGAGGCGGAGAGTGGCGACGAATTCTCCCTATGACATATAAACTGAGAAATAAACAATTTTATATTAATTTTACGTCTAACGCTCACATAAATTGTAATTTTGCAAGAGTGAGAATATCCAAATATTTCTAGTTTCTTGTTCGTAATCGCATGAATATTAAGAAATGCATAATTATCATTATTGGTAAATGAAATAATAGGCAAGTGTTTTTGTTACTCTAAAGCGTACTGCTTAGGAAATTAGAATTAGATTTTGATGTGAATATTTTACAACAAGAATAGGTCGTGCATAACGTCTGTCTGTTAATACTCGTAAACTCGTCAAGCAAAGTTTAACTTGACGCTCACCGAAATACCTATGGATTGTTTGCGTGATTTGGTAACAATAGTTGTATGTTCTTCGATACAAAGAAACACACAGGTTATATAGAAAATAATTCATACTTTTGAAATTGGATTTCAATACAAAATAATGCACCTTTTTTTAGCATTTTCGTGTCTACATACAATTGAAATATGTATATTTCATCGAACTATAAATACTGTGTGATGTAAACATGTTATATGTGATTTACACTGTGATTAGTGCAAGTTTTACATATACCGACTAATCACTATTCATTGCTATTAAACACAGAACAAGAACTTAACGCTTCACTAAACAGTGTAGATCAGAAAATTAAGTAATAATTGATTTTTCGAATGATGTTTTGTAAAAAAACTATAAGACGTTCTATCTAGTCAAATTTGCTTCTTATACATTCCTTTTTTGGAAAAGATCGCTGATTTTTTTTTTGTTAACCTGTAACTATTTATTTTGTTATAATTTATTTTAATAACTAAAATACTCTAGTCAAAATGTGAGTACCTTATTTATTTTAAGTGCAATATATTTATGAACAACTGATATTTACAAATTCTAATAATTTAAATTTTACTAGTCACTATTTATTTTAACTTATTAAATTATTATTGATAATATAGTTTGTAAGGTAATGTTAGTGATGTAAACACATGAAAACCGTTTATTAGTTTTAACACCAATAAGCAATAATATTGAATAATACTCGAGATAAACAGAGAAACAGTTTATTATAAGTATAAAAACATATACATTTATTTGTATAAAACATCTTAAATGCACTGCGTAAGAATTGATTTCGCCGATTTGATTTAGACATAGTATTAGACTAAAGCAAATGTATAATGTAAAATCCGATTGGTATAGAAACAGCATCCAATCACCGTTGTCTAATAAATAACCCTGATACATTGACTCAATTTTATTAATATACTTTATTCCCCACATCCTTAGTTTTACCAATTCTTATCCGTCTTAAAAAAATAATAGGACAGGTATGCTTGTTGCCTGTATGGTATACACTTAGGGGACACATAGAAATACGTTTGCAAGTTAAGGGGGCAAATCTATTGTGATGTCATATTTATAAGGCACACTGGGAAGATAGCTTCAGGATATCAGTGGATCTAACTCCAAAGTAGTGACGTATTTTATGGACGACCCTTGAACAATTAATCTTATCAAAAATATAGATAAATGAAAATTCCGTATCATTACAGGCATACAGTATTTTATCTTAGTTTGGGTCTTGATAGCCATTTATGTGTTAGAATACTGTTATTATATTACAAAAATAATAATAATAACATTGCACCACATTCACACAACATCTAGTCTCAAACTAAGCAGTGCTATGGCATATATACTTTTTTTGTAAATATATACATATTATACATAGAAACACCCAGACCAAATCAAACATTACTGTTCATGCACACAAATGTTTGACTTGAGCGGGACTCCAACCCGCGACCTTTGGTATAGCAGTCCGTTACACAATCTACTACACCATCCGGTCGTCATTACAAAAATATAGCTCTATCTCAAAATTAAACAATATTGACTATGCTGTGTGATAAAGCAAGCACAGTATGAGCAAAGAAGAGTATATGGAAACTAAAATAATTCCTCTTATATTCCAAATAAGGAGTATAAAAATCTTTATAAAACCTATATCGACCGTATTTTGTCCATCACAGAAATATAATAGCACCCACCACCCAGTGTTGAGCAGTTTATTCTTCGGTTCTTTTTTGACTTTGCTGGCGCCTCTTGGTGGCTAAGAACATCGCCCATCCGAAACCAACCAGGTTCATGAATAGGACTCTTAACTGCAAGACAAATTTAATTTTTATATGAATGACTGATTTTAGGCTGAAGTAGAATAAAATCATAGGTGAGGTGTACCAGTAATTGCGTACAAAATGGCTACTAGGATTAGACAAGAAGGGTCACTGTGCCACTTAAAAATTAAGTTATTATATTGGTCATTTATGTCAACCAATAAACCTCCATTAGGTCTTTTGCTTCACTGTCTAGGGAACACTAGGTACCTAATTTTGACAAGACAGCACTATATAACCATTTTCTTTTATTCCCAAAAATCATATTATTGTCTTTTATCGAAATCTATGGTTTCGTCTTATGTAATGTTGGTAATAATTGTAGGACACTTATCTGATAAGTATATTCTTAGGTAACTATAAAGATTATCAGCAAAATGATACAACTTGCTTTTTACAAGTACACATTCTTTGTTTGTCAGCACATTAAAATATTAATATGCTAACTTTATATAATTACTGCAATTATTGTAACAATTTACATATTATTTGCAATATATTGCAATATTTGCAATTAGTTTTAGTATTTATTACGTGACACCAGTTAGCTTCAACATCTTATAAATAAGTTTAATTTGACAGGGAAAAAACCTTCAAAAATAGGTTTATCTAATGAGAATATAAGGATTATTAACAAAATATTTTGAAATATAAATAAATTAAAACTAAGCCTAAGTCCTACAATTCATAAGTATTAAGTACTAAAATACCTATGTTTACTACTTAACACTATTACCTAGTACTTATGTATAATTTTCTTATCTATTCTGGAATGGCCCTTTAAATTTTGTGTTAAGCAGTTTTGTTTTATTAGATATAATACTCACCATAGGAGGTACAAAAGCCAAGTTAACAAGTTGGAACAAAGTAAGCCATTTCCAGTTAGCTTCCAATATCGGTAAATATAGAGCTAGCAGTTGTTTTAATGCAGCACTATGGTTCTTGCCTTCAAATCTAGCCAAAGTGTATAAAGAGAAGGCCTGCATGAATGGAGCAAATATTACTCTTTCAAATAAAAGCTTCTTCACTAATGGGAATGCCACAACCTCTTCAGGGAATGTCCTTTCAAGGAATTCATAGAAGTAGTGAGGGATAGTGCCTCCAAAAACTAACCTGAAACATGAAAGCAAAAAAAAAACTATAAAAACTTGATTAAAACATATTTGAATGTTAAAAGTTTCATTTTGATCTGTTAAATACTTTCAATTTGTACTTTTTACTTTCAATTTGCACATGAAAGACATGCATATAAGGGCAATGAACATCCATTTTCAGTTATATTGATTTTATTAACTATTTATAACTAGTTGTCGGACCAAAATAAACAGAATCACAATGTGTGTAGTTTGCTAAGTTCCCTTGTTTAACTATTAACAAAATGAATTAGAATACAGATTCCTTACAATACAAAACTTAGATAACAAAATCTTGTTGTTAAAGTTAATTTAAGTCAATATACCTAAATTTATGTGACTGTGCGTGTGACCCGGAAACCTTGATGAAACAAGGGGCATAAAAAATATTCAATTAACTGTATTTAAATATCACAATTTTATATGTTCAAGATGATCTCGATGCAGAAAGTATTTTTAAGAAGTCATGTTATGTTATTGGACAACAACAGCAATAATTATCCTTCTTTATACTTGTCACAAGCTTCTGAAGTTATAAACTATTCTAATATGAATTTGTAAATGTTCGAAGTTAGTTTCTCATATATTAAAAATATTAGACATGTTAAGTTAGTAGGGCAAACATCAATGACTTTTAGTTAAAATTAGTATAGGTAATTAATTGAGTTCAATCTTACCCATAAAGTCCAAAGGCTAAAATTGGATCTAGCTTGATTTTATCACCAGCCACTAGCTGTGAAGCAACACTGCCTGCTGTGCCCACCACACAGCTGAAAGATACCATAAAAAAAGTTTGAAATTAGACTTTGGAACCAAATGTGAAATAATTTAAAAGAAGAATTTCTCACCTTGTAATTGCTTTAGTTTTAATTGGATGTAAGTATAAGTTCTGTAAGTACGATGCCATTAAATTCATTATTGGTTTTGATAGAGCCATTTTTAAGAGTTTATTATTTCTTGTGGAACACAGTAAACAGGCTTACGATCTAAATCGATTATTCAGTACGTAATTACAGAATAACGTAATTAAAGATAAAAATATTTGTTATCAACCAGTTATCAACAAAAAAAAACCTAGTGACAAATTATGTTTATTTTTTAACTTTTTACTGTGCTGTGTTAAACTCAGTTAACTAGCTGCTAATTTATTTATCTGTGGTATTGTGTTATCAGATTCACGGATGTTAGAAGGTGGGTATGTGGTGATCCAAAGCTGGTACAGACGTCGCTGGAAGGCTCTAAAATCTGGTATTTGAAGAAAAAGTTGGTACACTTACAATAACGTTATATTAATAAAAATAATAATAATAAATCGTTTATTTTGTATATTATTCTAAATGAAATTCTGAATTATCTAAGAAATTCTTAATTATTAAAAAAAATCATACCTGATAAAAATTAACAATAATAGTTATTATTAATGTTATAACACAATAATTATTCTCATTATTCTTTGACGTTTTTATTATTAGATCTTATAAATGTCTCTACATAATTGAAAAAATAAACACGTGTGCATCTCGGGACGCATGGGAGAGCTATGCTTCGGCACGAATAGGCCGGCTCGATCGGAGTGATAACAGGGCCTCACAGAAAACCGGTGTTAAGCAATTCTTTCGTTGCCTTTCACTGAGTAAGTGAGGTTACCGGAGGCCAAATTCACTCGAGTCAGCGGGAGGGACTCCAAGGGCGGCAACGCACTTGTGACTTTTGAATTGCGGGTGTCCATAGGCGGCGGTGGTTGCTTGCCATCAGGTGACCCATCTGCTCGTTTGCCCCCTAATACCTTAAAAAAAAGTATAATAATCTGAAGTAAGTTACTCAATGGGTCAAAAATAATATGAACAGTAAATTTTTACAATAATCAATGTTGTAACCATGACGTACAGCACGAACTTATATATTGTTGTAAACGTATTATTGCGTACCAACACAATATTTAGTCGGTACATGGTACAAGACCCTGAAAAATTGTACGTATATCAAGAAATTGGTACGTCACATCCCTAATCAGATTTGCCATCGTTGAAAAATATTTTAATAAGTAAAAAAGTCAGCCAAGCACGCAAAAGTAGCGTATAATGATTATTTTTATTCTTTACACACGCAATCTAAAAAGGTCAACAGTTCATGTTCTATTAAGATGTGAGAGATACGGCCCACTACCAAATAGCGGGACGAACAGCAGATGTTTATTGTGTTCCATTGGCGCCCTTTGGCTACGGAACCCCGTTTATGCCGTTAAAAGAGACTGATTTCTTTATCTTGGCACTTTTTTATTTCGCGACTCAATTCAAAAAACTAATCGAAAGGAAAATAGGAAAACCTTGTTGAGATTGTTGAGTTAGTTACTCGTGTAGTTAGTTACATGAGTAACTAAATTCAGTTTTGTTTAATTAAGTAAAGTCAAAAAGCAATAATTATATATTTTCTGAATGTATTTCATGTATCTCGTAAAACGCTCTAATTTCGATTTAAATAATTTTGATTTTTAGTCAAATAAAGAAACTGTAGGCTAAAAACGTTCTTTCCAACGCCGATTTAACGACCAATATCATCAATCCAACTGTTGTTAAGGTCCACATTTCCGCAAGAAATTTTTTAAAAGCTTGTTTTTTTTTTCACAAAAAGTGGTTCGTTTTCTATTAAGGGAGCGTACAGAGATTGAGAGCATTGCAGAAATAGGTTGTATTTATTTAAATGACAAAAATAATTTCTCCACCAACTTATATTAATTTTTACATAACATTCAACTATACAAATTCAATTTAATTATTAATTGAAATATATTAATACAAGCGATTTATACAATTTTAAAGGCTTTTTCACAACTTTCGGTTCCAATTTTATACAAAAATATTTATACGGCTGTAAAGCTACGTGTCACTCATACTTAGAAACTACCAAGTTTTATTTTTTTAAGCGTGTAAATTCTTATTATGTGTTACATTTTTAAATAAAGAATCCCCAAAGAAATGGATATGTTAAAAAGAAAAGAAAAATTAAATGACATAGCCAACCAGTGGCAAAACAATATTAATATAAAATCTAAAATAATTCAATACATTAGTCATAATTTTTACTATAATGCTTGTATCATTTCTTCAAAACTGTTTTAATTTGAGACTAAGGACAGAAATTACAACCAAATGAAGAACCTCCCCTTTTTTGAAGGCCATTAATATTTTATTAGTTTTTTTCACATGGTTTTATAATTGGAACTATGCGAAAAAAAAAAACACTAAACTTTCGACCTATTTGCTTTACTTTTTACTCAATGAAATATGAATAAATAATAGAATTATATTTGAGACTATGTAGATGAGTGGGTAACCATTTCTTTCATACCCAGTGTGAAGGGGTTTACAAACTTCAGCTAAACAACAGAGTATGATTAATTTAAATATTTGTTTTGACATTAAGAATCAACATATATTTTAGTTGGTCATGGTATTCATTTTTCAAAACTCAAATGAAAACATTTTGAAGAAATAATCTTGCATTTTATTAAGCTAAGTATAGTTTAAAGAGGAAAGTTAAATATTTAATTTAAATAATATGTCCTATATTCATTTAAAGCTGTGTTCTAACATTCGCCATACAGCTTATCGAGTTGTTTTTGCAAATTATGTGATGTCAGTGCCGGTGTATTTGGTATGTCTACAGTCTGTTTAGAAACAGGTGTGCTTAAGAAGTTCATATGTTCTTTCATTTTCAGATACATATTTAAAGCTTGATGGCCCATTTCTGTTTTTGGGGGTGTTTTTTCAGTAGTAGACACATTAGGCATAGACTTATAAAATACCTTTTTTCTTAAACATAAGTTCTTTTTAGGTATTTTGTAGGTTGGTGATTTTGCTACAGTTTGTATTACTGAAGTTTCTGAGGAAGCTTTGGTTTTTGCTTGATGTAATATGGTAATTGTTGGCTCTTTTTTTACTTTGGTTTCGAGAGTCTGTTTCGCTTTTGGTGTCAGTGTCTGGTTTAAGTCATTAGAACTTCCTTGTTTCTCTTTAATTAACTTTCTTACAGATTCCAAGGACACTAACTGAGATACTTTGATTTTGTTAAGTGCAGCAATACTGTTCTCAATCATTTTGATATTTTCATCAGTACGCTTTTCAATTAACAAAAGATCTTTCAGTTCTGTGTTGACCTCTGAAGTGTTATTAACAGTTGCTTTATTTAGAAGGTCACAAAGTGATACAATAACACTTTCTTCTCTTCTATTCTCTTGGGTATTTGATAAATTATTATCAAAATACATGATAGTATTGTCATGGCATTCTGTAGAATTTTCTTTGTCATGGGAGTGATCAAAAAAGTCCTGAATATCTCTATAATGTGTAAATGGTGTGGAAACTGGCGGTGTCACCTCGGCAATATTTGCCAATGTCCGTTCCTCTACTAATGCTTTGGTTTTTTCTTCTACTTCGTTTATTTCCTTCTCATTTTGTAAGAAGCTAGCGTCACAACTGGATTTCCAAGATTCATTGGACATTGGCGTGTCAGGTAAGGCAGGTGAAAGCTTGTTTGACAAAACAATTTTTGGAGGTAAAGTTTTGTTCTTAATTTCTTTTGGTACATTTTCCTTATTTGCTATTGTTTTTCGACTTTTATATAGTTTATTCTCAGCTGGAGTTGCTGATATAGTAGTTATGCCGCTTATTCTCGTGTTGCCTGAAAAAAAAGCAATTTGATGCGAAAGAAAAGAGATATGAATTTAAAAAAAAACCTATCAGGTACGAGTCGAACTCGTGCGCCTAGGGTTCCGTACCTACCCAGATTTTACGTAGATTTTCGCGAAATTTTGTAAGTACAAAAATGTATCTTAATTTTCAACTATTTTTATTTTTTGGAATTATTCCCTTATTTGTGCTGTAAGACGTTTCTTTTTGCCAAATTTCGTGATTCTAGGTCAACGGGAACTACCATATAGGTTTTCGACCCAAAACCTTAAAAGTTAAAAGCAAGGTCTTAAAGCACAAGTAAAGAGAAAATTCTGAAAAATAAAAAAGTTGAAAATTAAGGTAAATTTTGGTACTTACAAGTTTTCACGAAAATCGAAATTTGCCCATATCTTTTTATCTTGTTGATTCAGGACCTTGATTTTTATACACCTAATAGGGAAGTTGACCTCAGTAATAATTCATAATTTTCATCTATGACCAAAGTGATAAACAATTAAAGAATACAATTCCTTAAAACGGTGATAGAACCCAAAATGGGGATTTGTTGATTTGATGTTGGGAACGTGACTGTTTTAAATACAGTACAATCTCAGATAGAAATGAATCTTCTGCAGGGTGGTGGCACTTTCCCAACCATTCAGTTTCACAGTTCCAATTAAACTAATAATGGTCTGCTGTCTTGTGTCTTATAATTATGATGCTTTTATTAAAAATATAACTTGAGAGACCTCACACAGCTCTCCGATGCTGAACTAGGCTGATACCATACTATTTATTTACGTATTGGTTCACCAACAACTGTTCAACTTTTTCTTACAACTAACACTAGAGACGGACAAGGTCCCGGTTGCCTACAGACCTTTAATATCTCCTTGTACTTGGATTGCCTTGGCTAACCTAGGTCTGATGGCAGTCCTAGTTTGGGAAAGGCTCAAAGGATGATGGTTAATCAATTAACATTATTTACCTTGTGTAAATAGTTTCTTCTTTGCTCTTAACTCTGGTTTGTTGAACTTTGGCAATTCAGGTGCCATCGTAGCTCTAGAATGTATTATTGGCTGAAAAGGAAAAGTTTTATCTGATAGCACAATATTAATACTATTTTGATTATAGTATGTAGACATGACACAAGTATTTAACCATTTCAATTTTATAAAATGTTTAAAAATTGAATTAATCTGTAATAATTTAATTTACTACTTTAATTTACTAATTTAATTTAAAAGTAAAATGTATTTATAAAAGCTTATTGTACAAGTTAAATATGCTTCTATTAATTTTATAATAACTGAATGATAAAATATTAGTAAAAGATTTTCAACCTTTTTCTATTCAGTTAAAGTTAAATCGAGCAGACGGCTCACCTTATGAAAAGTGAACATCTGCAACTCAGGAGTGAGAAGTTAGGAGTATGTTATCTAAAACTAGCACTAGGAATAATTCCTGTACAGTTCCAAACATTCACAACATTAAGACTTCACAAGTAAGAGCACCCAGATTAATTTCATCTATGTACTGTTCATGCAAATATTTATCACCTTATTTATAATAATACAAGTTTACTTACGTGTGGTTTAGACTGAAAGTTAAGAGCTTTTTTTACAGGATTACTTTTTAGTTGGCCATTTGCAGTGCGACTAAGAGTTCTATCAACTTTTACTGTTGAGTTCCAAGTTTTCTTCTTTGCAGATGCACCTACTTGGGCAAAGGTTCTTGGGGATCGTACTCTTAAAGCTGAAATCAGTACCAAAAAGTGATAAAATACAAATTGTAAATATACATAAAATTAGCTTTTTTGAAAGTAGTCAATGTGTAGTATATGTTTGTATCTTACATGAGATATCAGCTCTCATTTCAGCCACAGTTAAAGGCTTTACAACCTTCTCGGCAGTTCCAGTCACTACAATCCTTTGCAAAGGCTGCTTTTTGGCAGTCAATGTCTGAATGCTGTCCTTTGTCAGAATGCCTAGAAACACACATTTTTCTATAAAGTACCATCGAATACTATTTAGTTAGCACATAGGGAATAATTTGGTGTTTTTCTTGTTTTAACGACACAGGGAATAATAAACGAGACATTAAATTTCGACGAAGCTTAGAAGTAAACAAACACTGTTCAACCCACCACTTAATCCTGGAAGCAATTCCGCCAACGTTTTGGGTTTAATACTGGTCGTCACCTCCATCGTAACAAATCTTTCTATAAACACTACAAATACAGCGAAAAATAAGTTCAAATTCGTAAGTAAGTAAACGTTCAAATAAATTTAATGTAAACCGTCTAATATGTCAAAGTCAAAACTGTGTTTTTGTCATAAGCTTTGGCTTTATGTTACGTCCCTTTCAACGCAAGAATCGGTGTGAGGTGGTACAAAAAATTACAAATGGATGCTAAAAATAATTTTGTCTATATAACATTGTTCTTTTCATTTTCTTTTTATTTATTCAGATTTTAAAAATATTTTAAGTAAAATTAAATTATTCTCGCTTTCGTTCTACAACAGCGATACCAACAATAGTCTTTTTCCTCTAAGTCCACAAAAACACCGAGTGTCCCCTGTGCGAATTAACTAGTGTTGCCTTAAGTTTTGGAACGTGAAATCCTCCCCTGAGTACCTTGGAAATCTTCGGTTTAAAGATTGAAATTAACATCAGATTTTTGTAATTATTACTTGTAGAATTTCTAACAAAATATATACATTTTAGACACTTCATTCTAGACATGTAGTAATCTATACTTGAGATAAAAAAACAACAGAATGTTTAATAACTTGTTTTTATTTGTAAGTGCAGTTTAGGTCATAGTACAGATTAGATCTTAAACTGCCAATATTTTGTAAATAATTAAAAAAATCATTAGTTTTACACACAAATTCATGATATACGCCATACATATAATATCATAGAAATTAGAGATATGATAGCAAGACCGTTTTAGGCCATGCCGAGGCGCCCGGGCACACAACAATTTGGGGTCCTCTTAGACAGTAAAACAAAATGTATAGACGGATACAAATAATCACTCATCAAAAAAGTCTAAGCATAAGCATTCATTGATGCATTCGTGACTTAAGCAAACTCCTTCATTCAATTGTTTATTTAATCACAAAACCTTCTAATGTGTACCGTTACATACATAGTATAAAATAAAGTTAAAACGAAATTAAATTTTTTATGTCTTACAGAATTAAATAATGATATTTTCTATAATTATTTGTTAATTCAATACAAAGTGTGATTGCCTCTGTTGTTTAAAACTTGTCGGCAACGATTTTTCATTGAAATTATAAGATTTTAAGCTATTGCATAGCTTCTATCGCGGTTCTTGAGCGTGGAGACCGAATCCAGAAATTCCGTAACGAAAATAACCTAACACCTCTCACTCCGACCGGCACAGCGGTGATACTTTTTAGTTTTGCCATCTATCGATGAATAGCAGAACTTTTTTAAGGTAGGGTGTTCCTTTGACATGACAAAGGGGGGCGACCAGTTTATTTTTATTAATGGAATAACATCCACATACAATACTCCCCCCCCACCAAACATTTTATAATTGCATTAAGGTCCCTTCAAAATACCTCCCCTTCTCTCCCCTCCACTTTTTTCATTTATCCCCCATTTGATTTTCTCGGTACCTGAAGCACTTGGACTCCCATGTTTGGGTTTGTCTGAACCGGGAAAAGGCGACGAACAATCTGGCCCCTACAGATTTTTTTTTTTAAAGTATCGTAACATTTAACAACACTTCTGTTTTTCTAAAGAGGAGGAGGGGTATTTTCGAGGGATGACTTATTTTTTTATGATTGCATTGAGGTCCGCACAAAATACCTCCCCCTCACCCTTCACATTTTTCAACCGGGAAAAGGAGACGAACAATCTGGCCCCTACAGATTTTTTTGCTGGTACCAGCGACTTTGTTCATGTGGAATTTGAAAACACTGCCTTATTGGGTTCGATTCCGGAGTCGGGCAAAATTCTATAGGGTTTTCCTAAGATAATTATTTAATACTAAGTTTATTAATACTAAGTTGATAAAAAATGCTATGCAATAGCTTTACCGCGGCAGTCCCCGAGTGCCACACGTCTTTTTTTTATCTAAACTTGCAGCAATCGCTCCTAATAGAATTTTAACAAGTCGTTCAGTTGTTGGGTTGTCGTCCGTCTCCGTCCAGGTTCTCTAGAACACGTCTCTGGAGCATGCCCCATGTGTGCTCGATGGGCTTGAGGTCTGGCGATTGTGCAGGCCATGGCAATACCCGGATGTTTTTCCCATTTCCAAGTACTCTCTGGTCCTCCGACTCCTGCAAGCTGTGTGCGCACGCGTATTATCATGCATCAAGACTCTATGCAAATGGGTGAAAATAAGGCCCGAGGACATAATCATAAAGTTCAGCGTTCATAATGCCATCTACAAAAACGCGCTGTGATCTTCTGTTCTTCATAATACCTGCCCATACCATCACTGTGGAGTCACTGTAAGAGTGCCACTCCTGCACGTATCACAGCCGTTCAGCCTTTACGGGACAACGGTACTCTATTGCCCTTCCCGTATCAGGCCGAAATCCAAACCGGGACTCATCGCAAAATAAAATTTTAGCCTATTGATCCTGGGTCCATGTTACGTTCCCTACACCATTTAATGCGAAGGTCGCGATTCCCGTGCCGTATATGTGGGCACCTGATTGGGCGTCGTGCTCATAGGCCGTATTCATGCAGCCTATTTGTCACGGTTTGGTGACTAACAACAATACCGCTTGAGAATGTAGCTTTAAACCTATGCCCTTGGCGGTTAACATCGTCTTGCAGTCAGTTGTATGTATCGGTCCTATCGAGTAGTATTGGGTGCTCAACAGGATGCCCTGTGCTAAAAAAACGCTGCCAAAGACAACAAATCAGGCGCCCATGGATGGACATCAAAATGCAGAGATACCTGGGACTGATTTCTTCCCGCTTGTAACATTATTACGGCTTTTTACAAATGTAACGTTTTTACAAGAAAATTAAACATACACTAAAATGTTAATTAATTAAATTAAATTAATACACTTGACTGTCTGTTGACTCTATTCCGGGTACGATGAGAACACGATAGGGCAAGCTCGTGCCTGACACTGTCAGCGTGACATTTCAATTATTTTATTATTACAGATTGATGTGTCACTGAACTCTGTGTCACTAACTCACTATAATATTGCTCGTAGAACATAGTTGTTGACCCGGCCTTGCAGTTTTATTTTTTAAATATGGTGACTGTAGTACATCTTAAAGGGATGGATGAATTCAACAACTATGTTGAAAACATGGGACATGGCAATGCTACTTTGCTGTTCTGTTTCACTGGTGAAAAGTTATCTTCTGGACCGAGTTGGTGTAGTGATTGTAATGAAGGTACGCTATGTAAACTAATTAGAATATCTTCGAGATCCATAAATAAACCATTCTCTGTTTTAAGTTTTTATTTAGAATTTAGTTGTAGTTGAATAAAACATTTTCAAAAGGCGCTTGGGCCGTTTACTTAAATAAAAATAATAATTGTAACATCAAATAGTTAGTTTAGTTTTCAATAAAATTACATTGATTTTTTTTTTAAGAATAAGTTTTTTTTTCAATTTTCTAACTGAAAAATACAATTCAACTTTGGCAGTCTTTAACTTTTATTCTAAATGTGCTTTGAAAAAACTTGTATTAATTAGTATATACAATTATATGTTTTAGAAATATAATAGTAAGTACATGGGTATGGAGAGCATGTCTCAATTGAAAATATAAATATATCCTGCAGTGGAAATAGTTTTATGGAAAATCTCAAAAAGTTGTTTAGTTGAATAAAAGTTACCTATTACAGCAGTTAATCAATTGAGATATCCTATAGCGGCCATTGTGAAGTTTTTTATAGTCAGTGAAATTCTTATATGAGTCATTGGGTTATAGAATAGAATAGTATATATTTTATTTTGGAAATACGGGTAATACATGATAGGTGTTTCAGTACATTGAAGCTCAGCCATATTTTACCAGTGGCGTGCTAACATTTTTTGCATTAGGCTAAGTAAATATGCTTTTTATATTCAAATCCACAATAATATACAGGGTTACAAGAAAAGTCGTGCTAGATCCGTTAAGGGCGTGGAGTACCCATCATTTCTGACATTTTTCACTATGAAACACCCTACCCTAAACTTAACCCTTTTCGAGATAATCGTCTTTTAATTTTTTTATTGAAATTTGCTGATTTTTAGGCTACTACATTTATTTTTGTTTATTTTGTGTATCTTATTATTATTATTTTTGCATTTTTACATGTGTAATAAGATGCTTTAGGACGTCAGTCATTAAAATAGTTCATAAGTTAATTAAATAGATCGTAGTAGACAAGTGAAAGTAAAGAAATAAAAAAAAATTAAAAAATTATTTTTCTCTAACGGATATCTAAAAACAATATTATGGTAATTGTTCGGCACATGTTTTTTAAAATATCTACGTTTCATCAGCTATCTAACGAGGTATAACAATCTAGGGTTTGTATTACATTTCGTGGAAAAAAAGTAGTTGGGACGCTCCAGGTAACAGTTCTAACGGTCCCGCGCCTGTTGTCCTTCAAGTTAAAGCAGCGTCCACACTATGCCGGGCGAGGCCGAGCGGGCTGACCCGGGCGGCCTAAGCCGGGTTGGTGTGGACGCCCCGGGCGGCTTAAAAAGCCGGCCCGAGCCGAGCCGATCCCAACCCGCAGAAAGTAGGTACAGATCAAAGGATGCCGGCCCGAGCCGAACGAAAATATGTAGTGGGGACGTGCCGAGCGGCACCGGGCGGCTTTAGTTGTCCAGTCTTGGTGTCGAATTGAAACTAATAGGTAGATATAACCCGGGCGGCCTCGTTTTCGGTGTGGACGTCGTGCCGGCCCGAACGAACCCGCCCGGCTTAGGCCGCCCGGGTCAGCCCGCCCGGCCTCGCCCGGCATACTCCGGCATAGTGTGGACGCTGCTTAAGACGCACCAAGCGAGCGAGACAAGTGACGATTTATGTAGGTGCGAATGAAAGAAAAAATGTGTAGAGACCGGTTAGGGCTGGGAATACAACAGGGGGCATTGTTTGGTTGTCACTAGTTGTCAGTCTGCTTTTGTGCTTCGTACATAGTAGATGTGATATCGTTTTGCTTTTTTTCTCGACTTGGCTGTGATTCTGGACTATTTCTTCTGATTTGTGACTACTGTGCTTGTTAACCGGACTCTGATTTGTACCTGTGATACGGAAGTGTTGAAGATGACGTCCTACACACCTGAGGAATATGCTGATATGCTTATTTGTTACGGATACTGCGATTGTGTGTCTGCGCAAGCTCGCAACGAATACATAACTCGCTACCCTGGTCGTCGAGTGCCGGATGTGGCCGTTTTTGACAGAGTTTATCGAAGACTTCGAGAAACTAGCTCTGTTTTGAGACGAAATACAGACATGGGAAGACCACGAATTGACGACGAAGAACAGGACAATGAGATAGTGCAACGTTTTCGAACGGATCCGACTACTTCCACTAAGATTGTTGCCCGTGATCTGGGACTTTCGCAACTGAGAGTGTGGTTTACAGTGCATACTGCTGGCCTATACCCGTACCATTACACGCCGGTACACGTTATTGAAGAAGGAGACCCCGCGAGAAACTTGGACTTTTGCAGATTTATGCTAAATGCTAAGACCCAAATTTTCTAAGAAATATCTTGTGGACGGATGAGTCCAAATTTGATAAAGATGGCATAACTAACTATCACAACGCCCATTACTGGGCCCCAAAAGAACTAAGGAATCCCAATAAGAAAAGAGTGAAGGGGTCCCAACGAAGATTCAGCGTGAATGTGTGGATGGGCATTATCTCCAATCATTTGATTGGACCTTACTTTCTCCCGGATAATCTAAATGGGGAAAGCTACGAAAATTTCCTGAGAGCAGACTTGAGTGATTTGCTGGATGATCTGCCACTCAACCTGATCAGGGACATGTGGTTCCAACACGATGGCTGCCCTGCCCATTTCAGGAGAAGTGTCAGGGACTGGCTGGACACAAATTATCCAAACAAATGGATAGGACGAGGTGGGCCGTTGCCATGGCCAGCAAGAAGTCCGGACCTAACCCCCATGGATTTTCATGTGTGGGGGTGCATGAAAAGTCTTGTGTACAGCGAGCCGAATCCAGTTTCGTCTGTGGAAGACTTACGAGAAAGGATTGTGGATGCAGCAAATAAAATGAGGACCACGTTGACCACTGGAGTAGTGAAGACTGGTCTCCGTAGAAGGATGCGACAATGTATCAGAAATAGAGGCGGCCATGTTGAACATGAACTGTAGAATAAGAAAAAGTTGTGTGAAAACCTTTAATAAATGACATTTCATGCTTAACTATTGTTTTATTTTACTTTTTTGGGCTAAGTATAAATTTTCTTCTCCACTGTCGCCTATGAAACTAAAGTTTTTTCAATGCATTTGAATAAAACCTTAGATTATTATACCTCGTTAGATGGCTGATGAAACGTAGAAATTTTAAAAAACATCTGCCGAACAATTACCATAATATTGTTTTTAGATATCCGTTAGAGAAAAATAATTTTCTAATATTTTTTTTTATTTCTTTACTTTCACTTGTCTACTACGATCTATTCAATTAACTTATAAACTATTTTAATGACTGACGTCCTAAAGCATCTTATTACACATGTAAAAATGCAATAATAATAATAATAATAAGATACACAAAATAAACAAAAATAAATGGAGTAGCCTAAAAATCAGCAAATTTCTATAAAAAAATTAAAAGACGATTATCTCGAAAAGAGTTAAGTTTAGGGTAGGGTGTTTCATAGTGAAATATGTCAGAAATGATGGGTACTCCACGCCCTTAACGGATCTAGCACGACTTTTCTTGTAACTCTGTATAGATTAAATCTTGACAATATGTTATTGAAATCAATAATGACACAATAGTAAACATACAACAATATTGAGATAATACATCCATAATCATAGCCCTTAAAGATTATTTTAAGATTATTTTTAGATTATAATAATAGTAAAGGCTGTTGATGATGATGATGATGATGATTTATGAAATCTTTTATTTGATCTTCAAAATTTATCAAATAGACCACTTCGATGCCTTTGTCAACTAGGATACCCTGCTTAAATCCCCTAAGGCACTTATTTAGATTTTTTAAATAAATGGCTTAATGGAGTTTTCAAGGAATTTTGAGTTGTGTGGGAATATTTGTTATTCTGAAGTGTCGGAACTAGATATCGCCCATCTGGATTCGCTTGTGTAAATTTTCTTATCCCATGACCAGATGAACACTAAACAATATGAATAAGTACGAACGTATGAATATCGAAACATTGTGTTTTATTTGTAATTTGTATAATTTTTTTTTGAAGTTAATATGCTGCGTACTTATTATTCTATGAAATGATAAAATGAGTATTTTTTTATGTGAAAAGTAATTTTACAAAACTGTTTTCTAAAAAACAACGTGCAGCTAGTATAACGCGAAGCTCGGACATACCTATATGTCGGCAATTGATTTTTATGTGTATAAAGATAGCTAATTATGTCTATTCCGTTGAGTTCAACTCAAATTTTAACTAGTTGAACTAAATGGACCGGGGGGATAATTATACTATTGAGAATAAACTTTTCAAAAAATATACAAATTAAAAGGGATTAACAAAGGGTATCCTAGTGGACTTTCTGGTTACAAAAACTTCCAAATAAATACTCTTGGGGATCAAAATAGTTAAAAATTCCAAACAGATCCTAGAGGATCGGTGTGGACAAATAAAATATACATACATACTGTTTGCACCTATCATAGCTTTAAACCTTTTTACTTAAAAATAAATATTTTTTAAAATATTTTTTAATCTGTTGTTCTAACATCATGCCTTTATCTCCGAAAAGTGAAAATGTAAAAACAAAGCATTTTAATAATTATGAGGAATTTACCACATATCTTGATAAGGAGACAGGAAAAAGCCCAGAAACATTCTTTTTATTTACTGGGAAAAAGAAAGAAAATGGGCGCAGTTGGTGTATGTACTGTCAAATAGGTAATGTAACTAAATATATGCACATCAACGTATAAATAATTTTTCCGACTTATTTGCTCTCCAAACCGACCAACGTACATGATACATGGTTACACCATGAGTGGAGGAACGCTATCCAGGCCCGCCGTTTAAGCACCCGCGAGCAATGCCGATTAAGCCGTCCTTTTTTTTCGGTGCGTAAATCCCCCTTCGGATACCCCCCACCGGTAGACTGGCCATGTGGTTATGTTAGACTCGGAACCGACTAAAACCGCACGGCATCTCGGGTACCAGTAGCCGGGAAACCAGGTGTAATCTACAAAAGGAATCTAGTAATCCGACGGACCCCGCGCCATCTACGGCTTACAGATGTAGTACGTGTGTAGTGACCACGGTATCCTTTTCCTACCTATTGTCGCGCCGCCACGTTTCACCTGTCACCCCCAGGTCTGCGCTTATGGAGGACGGAGGTCCTTTCGCGCCCCCTTGAAAATGCCGCTCATGTGCGGTGCTCGTACTGCACGGCGTGCATCGGTTCGCGTGTAGCGTAGTGTAGTGGGCCTGACGCTACCTACCTAAATATACTGTATAAATGTAATGTAAATTATTTATAAAACTCTGTTTTAGCGGAACCCGTTATAGAGGCATTTCTTACTGAAGTGAAGAGAAAAATAATTTTTGCCTTCGTGGATGTTGGTGACAGGGATACGTATGTATAACACATCTATATTTTTATAGTTGTAAATGCAATGCAATGGATCACATTATCAACAAGAAATTGAAAGGAGGTTTTGGCTTACTATACCACGCTGTTCAGACGGGTCGGTATAGGGTTTGTGTCAAGTTTTCCTTGTGTTTACTGTGCTGTTGTCGTGCGTAGTTTGCTCCCTTAAGCCGACCTTAAGACACCCACATTTTCTTATTTAGTCAACCCTTTTGTACAAATTCAGTTGATCATAGCTATGCCTCATACTAAACTAAAAAAAGATTTTATGCGCATTTAGCTGTCAAGACATTGTGAAATTATAATCATGTTTACTTATAGGTGGAAAGACAAAAATTGCCCATTTAGAACAGATAAACGAACAAAATTAATGGTGATCCCCACAATAATACGGTGGAATGGAGTACAAAGACTGGAAGGGAGTCAGTGTGGTAAAAGAGAACTACTCCAAATGCTTATTGAGGATGAGGAAGACTAGATGCCCGTCTATAAATATATATATATGTATCAAGTTCATGTGTAAATAAATATAAGTAAATTTTTAATATCAAAGAAGAGTTTTATTTGTCCATGGGATAAAATATCATCATTATCATCACATCAACAGCCTTTAATAGTCCACTGCTAGACATAGGCCTCTCCTTAGAAAGGAGGTTTTGGACTACTATACCACGCTGGTCAGACGGGTTGGTGTAGGGTTTATGTCAAGTTTTCCTTCTCTCTGCATTGCTGTTGTTCTTGCGTAGTTTCCTGCCTTAGTCGCCTCTTACGATACCCACGGGTTGAATGGGGGTGATGACACAATTCTTAATCCGTCACTACACGGACTGAAAACATATGTGTGAGTGAATCTATAGCTTCACACCAAACCGGTGTTAAACAATGCCTGCGTTTTACTGAGTAAGAGAAGTTACCGGAAGCCCAACCGCTTCCCTAACTCTTGGAGGAGCTCCTTGAAACATCGGCACTTTACTAGCGACTCTTAGTGGCGTCAATGGGCGGCGGTGGTCAATACTGTCATTGCTACTGAAGTGACCAGTGTGCTGATTTGTCCCCTTATAAATAAAAAAACAAAATGTTAGATCACCATAATAAGAAAATTGTTTATATCGGTATTGTTCGTCATTCGTAAAAATATTAATTGTTATACATTGCAGAATATCTCAATGATAATACCGCCTGAGATTGAGCTACTCATTTTATAAATGCTGTTTTATTTTAATGTTTTCTATTATTTTTGTTTTTGACGAAACGATAATTAATTATTTGTTACAATCTTTAATTCTATTAATTGACATTCATTTTTAACCCAATTAAAATAATTGTGACTCAAAATTATAATGCTTGTTTAACTGTGAGATAAATGAATTTGCTCTTAAAGAAGATTATCTGGACTTTAAAAAAGATCCGACGATAATCGCTGAGTTTTTTCCTTCTTCTCAGGGCTAGTCCAGTTAGGCAAGGCCGAAGTCATCTGTTCTAAAAAAGTTTGACATGCAAAAGTGTTCTAGTAATCTATTTGCAGAATAATCGACTTCATTTCATTTCTATAGAATCACTTTTGGTCATACATCTACGTTAGTGTAGTACTGTTTAGAACTGTAAAGGCATTTCTTAAAAACTGACATTAAATACTTGTCAAAAGGAATCGTGAGACTATTGATCTACCCTAATTAAAAAAAGCAACTAAAAAGAAGGGGGTTCTTAACCCCCTTTTTGAAATTGGTTAAAAAGTCCTGGTCGAAGTCCGAACTCCGAAGCCATGTTAGAGAACATACCTATGTTTTATCTATATCGGACAATTCGTTTAGGGGAACGATGACTGTGTTCTTATCACACACTTGCAGTACCATATGTCAATATTTAGATAATGTTTGATAAGCGAAATAAAATGACATTTATTACAACATTTATTCAAGTCTTAACCAATGATATACAAGATTATACATTGAGCAATTATCGCGTTCGATGAAGCGCATTATACCTTTTTACATGGATAAAATTCCAATTCTATAATAAAAAAAACATAAATTGTCTATAGAAATTGTAACAATAGAAGGTAATAACATTCGTTTATTTTACTATTTTTACTTTACTTTTCTTTGCTTTACATAATAATCACAGTATAAAAACAATAGTACCTACGTTTGCAATAGGTACTATATTGCTACCTAGATGCTATAAATTTACAATAGGATGTTTTGCTATTCAAATACATATAACTACAGTTTTACACAATGTGTGTCCAATTGGTTACTTAGATAATAAGATGATTATTTAGTAAGTTGAATGCAAAAATGAGAATTCAGATAATAATTTATCACTGACTTTAATGTGCTTAAATTGTAATAAATTATCATAGGTAGGTGAAGGTATATTTTACATCCGTTAGTTTGCCACCACAGCAATGGAATATTTTGGAACAACGATTAGAACAACTATATAATTGAATTTAAAAAAGAGAAAATGAAATCAGTTATTAAATGGCATAGATATCTCGTAACACAGAAAAAACAGTGTCATTGAACTCTTCCTTCTTTAAAATCAGATAAAATTAGCAGGGATGATGAGTAGTTATATACTGAATGATCTGTACTCCTGACACGAATTTGACAATTATATTTTATGTTTTAAACTAAAGCATCTGGCTCTATAATTTCGATTGTAAGCCAAACTTATAAATAGACTGCTTGGATCAGTTTCACCAAAACAAATGATCATTTAATGTTTTAATTCTTGTTTGTATATATATATAATTGGCTAAAATATGCTAATAGTTGCTTCACAAAAAGAATGACAAAAAATGTCAGTCAAAAGTGGTGGCAGTTCACCATCTATACCTATGTGTACCTACTTTATTATGTTATTTGTAAGTTTTATAAAAAAATAGTAATGTAAGTATATGTCTACTTCAGTCAGCCATTGTTCAGTTTTAAAAGACCTACACAAGAGTCATTTATTTTAAACACATTGTTATTATTTATATTTAATTAATAGGAATCACGAGTTACATTTATAAATGTTTTAAAATTTAATTTAACATTTTGTACATTTAACATTGTACACCAAAATCATCACAAACAGTACCTAAGTCATTTTCAGTCCAAGGAAAGGAAGACCAATAACAAAATTTTGGCACCCATTGTTGTAGTTTCACATCGAGGAAATTTTAAGAACATAAATGTGTCAAACTATATTTAAAGAATTTGTTAGTAACAAATTCTTTAAATATAGTTTAATTTAATTAGCGGAATATTGTAGCGCTTGTAACTATTATAGTAATGACCATTAAATTTTAACAGATTTAATGATTAAGTAACTAATTAAAGTTAATAGTAGTAGGAATTTAGAGCTACTCAATGTAATTTAAATCCAATAAGTGCCTACATTTGCAAACAAAAAATGGATTTTTAAAGTTTTGTAATTAATATTTACTTAACATAAAACGTAAATGTGATTTATCTTTAAGTTTTATGTTAAATAAAAATTATACAATTTTACTTTAAACTAACCGTCAGTCAAACTGAGCCCCCTCCCCTCCCCCATTTCGACAGAAGCGGGCACTCAAAGGGCGGAAACTGATGATAGCAAAAGTCATGTACATTAAGTTTCATCTAATAAAATCTTGTCTTTAAACTATTGTCAAAAAATAATTCGTATGGGAAATAATACCATAACCTAAAAATCCATTTCCAATTTTTAAGACATAAAATGGAAGCGGCTCTACTCATTGCCATCTTACTTTAACTTAAAAAAATATCACCGATTACAATGTGCAATGTGTGACTTATTTTAATAAATTGTAATAAGCTGTATACTTGTACTTTAATTTTCCACCCTTGAAATATAACTTATTATTTTAATAAATAGTGTACCAACCTCGACTACAAATAACTCTTTAAAAAAATATATATATATTCACAAACGGCAAAGAAAAAAATCAAATGAATGAGAATATCTTCCGTGAATTTGATAAATTAGGAATAGACAAGATGAAGTTAGGTCGGTTCATATAAAAAAATGTATCACTTAAAGAAAATATTTGTTAAGTTTAAATTGAAAACTGTACAAAAGATCGTATTAAGACAAATGCAATGTCTATGCTACAGTTCTCACACTTCATTCTTTAGCACTGCAAGCTACTGATTTCTTGTCCTCGGTAGGCTCATCATCCAAGTTCAGGTCCTTGGACGGTACTGTGAGCAGTAAATCGTAATATACCTTCTTGTTACGTAGAAACGCGTTCTTGTTGTCAAATATCACTGAGTCTGTAAATAACATTGTTATTAATTAAAAAAAATAGTGGTTGATGCATTGCATTTATTGTCTTGTTAATATGTTAATCTTGTTTAATATGTATTGACAAAAAGGATTAATTAGATACCCATCTAATTAATCCTTTTTGTCAATACATATTAAACATAAAAAACACCCAAATTGCGAAACAAATATTTGCAGAACATATAAACATTTGCTGCGACCCGGAACGCTAGACCTCAGCACAGCAGTCGCATACGCTTCCTCTGCACTAATAACTTCGAAAAGAGCATAATGTAGGTACTCAGTTCAGTTCTAAGCAATTTTTTCATCTTAAAAAAAATACTGTTTTAAAGAGATGACTCAAGACAAGAAATTTAAATAATAATTGTACGTACAAGTAGCAGGACCAGTAACTGCCATCACACCAATCTCAGAAGGTCCTTCACTTAGTTTTTGTGGCCCGTGCACAATGGTCTCGTTGCCATCCTCATCGCGACGCTTAATTAAAAACTTGATGTCATGGCTTTCCACTCCGCAATCCCACCTATTAGGCATATACATTTTTTTTATGTGGCGGCTATAATAATCGATGATATCAAAGACTATTTAGAAACCTTCTCCACAAAGGAATCCTTTTAACTAAGAATAGTCCTGATGTAGTCACTTTTCAAGGGTCTTTATGTAAATAATTTAAGTATTTGCTTTAAAACGAGTAGGTTATCTATGCCATTAGTTGTGTCAGATTCCATACTGATAAATTTACTAGAAATAACTAAAACCTTCAGTGAATGTATCAGGATGGAATTTGTTGTAGATAAGTGTGTAAGAATGCATGTAAAAAGAGACAGGGATGTGGAATCTGATAGGATGGAACTCTCAGATTCCACGCACTTTAGGTGCCTCTCAGCTAACGAAAGTTACAAATATCGTAATGCGTTACAGGCGTTATTAATTGAGTTGACGATGAAACAATCGTTACAGCAGCGCTTCTTTAGCCGCCTGGAAAAAGTATTAAATAGTCTTTTGTCAGGTGGTAATAAGGTGAGGGCCTATAATGATTGGGTCATACCAGTTCTAACCTACTCTTTTGCCATGCTTAAATGGACTGAACTAGATACCCTTGATAGAAAAGTTCGTACATTGCTAACTGCGTACCGAATGCATCATCCAGGTTCATCGGTGATGAGGTTATATATTCCACGAAATTATGGTGGTCGTGGTTTTCTAATTGCCAGGACCCACCCTAATCATGAGATATGTAACGTTAGGTATTACTTCCTTTCTGTTAATTTGGTTATGCATAGGGATGTAGTAGCAAATGATAACGGACTCACTCCGCTTGGTCTAAGTAAAGAAAACTTGCGCAAATTTGCAGTACTCAATGATTGTTGACATTACCATTCCACATGACGACAATCTCGCGAAAGCTGAAAAAGATAAACAAGTAAAGTATTTGGATTTGGCCTACGAGATTGTCGACATGTGGGAAGTGGATTCGGCAATCATTGTACCGATCGTCATATTGGCCCATGGATTAATTGCTCAGAGCCTCGACCAACATCTTCAGAGGCTCGCGTTAGGCAGTTGGATTAAGGGCCTGATGCAGAAAGCAGTTCTTCTCGATACGGCACGTATTGTGAGGAGATTTCTGTTTCTGGAGTCCTAACCACCGATGTCTTGGTCCCTGTACCCGATACCGATGGGAAACTATTTTTTAATATATTTTTCAATGTTTTTTTTTTACATAAATATATTTAAAAATGTATATTTAATGGTATAAAGAGAATAATAATAATAACTTGAGACATCTCACACACGATTTTCTGTGAAAAAATCATCGTGCTCATCACACAATTATTTTTCCTGGGTGGGAATCGAAACCCACGACCTCCGGCTTAGCAGTCAGCCACTAACCACTAGACCAACAGGCCTGTCTGTCATAGATGTTGTAGATACTTACTTCAACACACTGTCGTTATCAGAGCAAAGTAAATCGATAACGTGTTTCTCGCCCGTCTTGATTGTAACTTTTGTGTACCCATTCTCTGACGAATCCAACCCTGGGTTGTCAGTGTAGTAGCTTTTAGGAATTTTACCACCTGGCTTGACCTGGAAGAGAAGAATATAATATTTTGTTTTAACTTAAGCGTTCTCTCTAACCTCCAAAAGATACTTCTCTATTTCGACTGTTCCAAAGATGACTAGCATACAGAAAATCTGCCGCTCTAATTTATCAGACCCTCACCACCAGACCGCATAATATTGTCAGTCTAAACAAGATCACAGATAAAATTAACTTGTGTTAAACTTCAGTAGCAACGAGGATGAAAATGCATTACTGCACTACAAGTGGCATGCCTGCAGTGACATTAATTAGGCCACTTCAGATAAAAGACGTCGATAACTATTACGATAAGTCAGACCATAGGGACCAAGAAACCTGCTCATATAACAGGCTCACTTCGTTTGCCGCCCACATAAACCTGGTCCACAAGTTAAGGAATATCTCTAGGTTGCCGCTTGTTCTAAAGTCTTCCAAGCCCGTGACAAGCGTGCCATCAAAGGCGTGTCAGGCAAGTTATGCTCGGGCCTAGAGGGAAGAAGAGTATTTAATCATCTTACCTATGGGTTTCAGTTTTCATTAGTTTCTTTTATTTTTAATCAGTCATGGCAGGCTTATGTTTAATAAATCTTGAAAAAAGCTAAACTAAAAATAATATTGACACATTTTACATGATTAGGAAATTACATCCTTATGTGTTATAATATTAGAGTTTATAATAACAATTTGTCAACTTACAAGTAGCCCACATTTCGGATCCCCGCTTTCATCGACCATGGTGCCTCCGTAGTGCACGGGCAGTTGATCCTTGTCAACCACGGACACCACTTGCGCCTGCCACTTCTTAGCATCAGACCCGTAGATCTTTATCTTAGATATCGTATACTCGTGCATGAACTTCTTGATAACGGAGAACGCCAACGAGAATACTTTTGGTGCTGAAATTAAAAATATTTTCATTGACACAAAGTGAAAAAAAAAACATTGTCACTTCGAGAGTGCCGACAAAACTGAAAACTTGAAAATTAAAAAATATTACAGATTTTTTCTTTTTTTCGATGCGAAAGTTCCGACATGAATATATTTCACTGTTTATATTATTTATAGTTATATTATCAATGTATTTCTACCCAAACTCAACTCTCGTGACACAAACGGGGCCAATATATGTAGATTCTTATATACAGAGGTGTCGGTAACGGTAACAGTGTCGCGAGATCAATGACTTTTTCCCATCTCAAAAGATACATTTTATGTTTGTTGTTCAAAAATACGACTCGAACTACTACGACTAAAGAAGTTTTCATTTCAAAAAGCAGACGGATCGCTCTGATAGTAAGTGACTACCGCCTCCCATGCACACCTGCAATTCAAGAGTTACAAGCGCGTTACTGCCCTTTGAGTCCCCCCAGAATGAAGGGTGCGGTCGGACTCCGGTAACCTCATTCACTCAGTGAAAAGCAACGAAAGAATAGCTTAGCACCTGTCCGGAGTCAGAGTCGAGCTGGCCCAATATTGGTACCGGCATCGATCTTGAGCACTGGCCTTCACCTGCACCGAAGTCGATTTTAGGGTCCCGTTGGTGGTACGAAGTAGGACAGGGGCCAATTAAATCATAACTTCGGCCACTGATGGGCTCACCGATATTGTCGCTGCTCCTGATTCGTTTTCTCGTACTTAACTACATCGAGTACACTTCCGAACTTCTTTTTTTTATTTGGAGAACTTTTTGTTTATTTGATTTTATTTGAAATACTTTTTATTTGGTCGTATGTTTAGGATGTCGTAGTTGCAATACAACCTCAGGGTTTGAAACATTAAGCAATATGATGTATTCACATAGTTACATGTGTGGTGTAAAATCTTACCATTAACTATATAACAAATCTTCAATATTTCAGGATAGTTGGCTTCGTACAGCTGTAACAGCGTGAAGACCAACTCAGCCGCCGGCTTCCACGCATACTGTCTTATGTGGAACCCTTCCATGTCGAATATTACTACCACCTGTAAGATCATAAACAATATACTAGTTAGTTACTCTCTAAACGAAAACTAACGTGTACCCTACAAATCTGTACAACACAAATATAGGCAATACCACAACGATAAGCAAACCTAAATATTAATAAAAGAAATTCATGAATCATTGCTGTATTGTTTTTACCTATTTTATTTTTTTCAGTACATAGGAATAAATTAATGACGAAATGTATTCTGAATTAATAACAACGCGTATTTATAATCTTATAATTGTTTTTAAAATTTGAACAGTTTTATTTTTAACTGATTGTATTAATCATAATTATATTTATTATAATTAACCAGATCTTTAATTATACATATCCAGTTGCTGCTAGTAATTTTGAAACAATATTAATGAGGTAATTTCATAATGCAACAGTTCAAATTTTTAAAAACAATTTTCGATTAAGTGCCATTTTCGATTGAAAGCGACCACGGAGCAAGGCTGTTATAGTCGAACGTGCAACGATTGTTTCTTCAAAGGACCATTGAGAAAGGGTGTTTTTGGCGAAACGTTCATCGGTGAAATGTAATTTATAGAACCGACTACGGGCGAAGGATGTTTGGCGAACCGATCATCGCTGAAGGGTAATCTATACAAATAAATACCTATAATTGAAGTGTCTGTTCGTAATGTCAAAATAATATTTTTTTTTCATGCTCACACGGTTATTTGCACGATACCTATGCTTAGTTTAAACCAGTTTAAATATTATTTGTCTGTCTGTCTGTTTGGACCGATTTTGATAATATTTTAATACCAGGTAGCTGTCTATATAAGGAGTAACTTAGGCTATTTTTCCTCACAGAAACACCCTTTAAATTTTGCCCGGTCCGGGAATCGAACCCATTCAGGCAGCACTTTTCGAATATCACGCGGACGAAGTCGCGGGTACCAGCTAATATGGAATACGATTCTGAGCTCCACGTACTTAATATAATTACGGGGCCTTTTTTTTTTTTTTTTTTTTTTTTTCGTGCGGATACCACCTGTCGGTGGCATGTCGGACTCGAACCGACTAAAACCGCACGCCGTCGCCGGGTACTAATAGCCGGGGAACCAGGTATACCCTAGAAAGGAAGTCCCTGGTGCCCCGACATACCTCGGGTCATCTACAGACGAGTAGACGACCCCCCCGTGTGGGAACCCGATGTTCCCTGTGCTCCCTGGAAGCGAGCGCGCTTCGCAACGCGCTCGCCGCCACCCCGGCCTGCTTCTGCTAGGGTGACAGATGGCCTCACCTGTCACCCCCAGGCCTGCGCTTATGGAGGACGGAGGTCGTTCTGCGACCTCCGGCGCCTGAGTTGCCTGCGGTGCCTGGCCCGTGCCCGGGCCTGGCGGGCCGAGAGAGTTCTAAACCTCTCCCGGTCCCGCTCCGCCGTCTCCTTCGCGAGCATAACTTGCTCGCAGAAGGAGACGGCAGAGTTCCACGCACTCTCGCTCCGCACGATAGCCGCAATCAGGCTATCGAGCGAGAGAACTCCCACTCCGATGATATAATTACGGGGCCTAAAGTTAGCATTTGGTTCTTAACAACCGCGACAGGGTTGCGCGACGTTTGGGCGTGGCCAGTTGGCGGCCCCGCTAGCTCCAGAGGCAGTACACAGTGCAGTCGCGCGACGAAGGCGAGAAGCGCATTAAAATGGTTGATTTTCCACCGAACGAGGACGAGAAATTGATTGAATGATGAATAAAAAGCAACTCTTCTTCTCGTGATATGAAAATTGAGTCAATGTTTATTCATTTTTCCAGAGGCTAATAACATAATAAGTCTATCATCATCGTCATCATCCTCCAACAGCTGCGAATAGCTTTTCTCCTAGCTACGGCAAAATTTTCGTACATATCTATAAAAATAATCTACACAAATAAATAAAATTGGAGTGTCTGTTTGTAATATTAAAATAACCGCTTTTTACTAAATACATATGTATGTTTACACGGTACATATGCATAAATAACATTTTTTACATTTTTGGTCTGTCTGTCTGTTTGTTCCGGATAATCTCTGGAACGGCTGGACCGATTTCGACGGGACTTTCACTGGCAGATAGCTGATGACATAAGGAGTAACTTAACTTAACTTTTTTTAGACTAGCTTCGCCCCGCGGCGTTGCCCGCGGTTATAACAACAAACGCGGGTAATACCGCGGGTATCAGCTAGTAGTACTATAAAAGGATACAACGCGTCACGGTCGCGCGTGTCGTGTCGCTGACATCGGAAAGCTATGGGTCGCTCCGGGACCGGCGACCTAGGTCGCGTAATAACCCAATGCCACCTTAAGGAGTAACTCTGATCATTTTTTTTTAATTACAACCTTACTTTTACGTGCACAGTTATCGATAGTTGTTTCATCCACTTTGATTAACAAACTTAATGCTGTAGTGCTAAAAGCTCATGACAGTATGTACCATTTTAAAAAGAACATAATATTGTTACTCGTTCGGATATTGAATGTCGTAAAAAATGATACTAATTCTAAAAATAATACCTTCAAAGCGTTAGGTCCTCGTTCAGCAGCCTGACTTCTTGCTATCGTGAGGTAGTTCTCCAAATGTCTCAAGATCTGACGGATCACGTCGGTTTTAGATACAGAGTGAAGTAGACCCCAGATGTCTAAACCCACAAACGGGACGATGATCACTGGAACGGAGAAAATGAGTCACGCATAACTATAGGTTTTTAGGTATAATTGTGAAAGTCGCACATAATATATAGGAAAAAAGAGTATGTTACCTGGTGAACCTTCTTTGTCGAAACCGGTGCTGCCGCTAGGAAAATATTTATCTAGAACGTCTGGAGCTTGCCAGGTCTGAAGTTCTTTGTCGATACCCCACTTCTCTCTCCATTTTAGGGACTGCAAAAAACAGAAACGCATTTGGGTAATTTGTTATAGTCGCATCTTTTAAAAAAAATAGTGGATTAGGTTTTGCTACAGTAATAGTTACTATAAAGATATCTAAGGTCATCAGCGGAGATGAAATATTCTCTGTCTACCATTAGCACGAGTATGTGTATAACCGTGACCGGGACCGTGGGCAGCGACATACCCTTTAGAAGACCGTTTGGATAACCTTTACATTTGTTCTAATAATCAGTTTTAAAAAATATTCTTAGAGGAGAAATCGCCAATATCTGGTTATTATAATGTAATTGCAAATTGCATTGATATTGCAGGTAAACAACTAGCTACGTAACTCTAACGTTTTTGCTTATTTTTAATGCTAAGAACCCATTTACCTTACAAAATGCAGTTACAAAAATTATTGAATTTAAAATCTTTTTATGTATTAATTACAACTGATTGAAACCTGAAAGTCAATTAAGCACAATTTTTCCTAGGAACCTAGGAGGGTAGGAGGTCGGTACGGTACCATACTCATACCGGATATGTGACCAATTTTGTCGATCGCGAAATCTATGGTAAGTATTGTTTCCGGCACGATTCCCTGTCTCTAAATAAAATTTCGCACAAAGCTTATGCTATACCATGCATGATTACTTCCTATAGTCAATCCGCCGTAAACTTGGCCCTCCCGATGGTTTGCGGGACGCGGGGCGGGGTTAAGCTCAACCAATTAGCTAGTGTGTCGCTGTCCGCCGATTTATATTTCAAATATTTGCAAGTCATACAAACATATGGTCCGAACCGGACATCTAACTCAAGACCTCAGCACAGCAGTCACATACGTTGCCAAGAAAGACTAGTGTCTGTGTCTCTAATAAAGAATAATTTTTCCTCGTTTCTGCAACATTTTCCATTGATGCTCGGCTCGACCGATAGGGTCGTAGCATGATCTATCGATGATCTATTCGATAAAAACTAAGAGAATTTTCCAATCCGAACCAGTTCCTGAGATTAGTACGTTCAACCAAACAGACAAACTCTGCCGCTTTATAATATTAGTATAAACGTACCCTGTTAAATAAGAACGTGCATAATAAGCTTAATCTTAAGTTAGACAACGAACAACAAATAAATAATGTACTTTATCTAATGAGAAATAATTTATTTTCTAATGGTGATGAGTGTAGTGATTTTTTGGTGCTCGGTCTGTGGTTTTTTGCACTTGTAACAAAACTACAAATCATTTTTAGGGTTCGATCCAAAAAGAATAAAGAAACTCTTGGTCACTTTGAAGCCTGTCAGTCTAGATATTTATGCCGAAGTCTTGAAACTGTAAAAAAATGCAGCTTCTATTTTCTTGTTGTATCAATTAAACTTTATATTTCAACATTTTGCAAGTAAATAAAAGCTTTAGAGGATTCCCATTTACCTGGAATCACAGCGGGCGTTAAAATGTCGTGTTAATTTTTTTGAGAGTAAAACTTATATTTTTCGTTCTTAGCGGAAAAACACCGGCAATTTTGGAGAATCGATCATCATCATCATCAGAGATCATCGAGAAGAGCGAATTATCTACATACAAGTTTGTAAGGATCCTTCGACGCAAACGTCGACTCTGCACTTGTCTGGCTTTTTGAATAATTGTATTTGCATTATATATATTTCTCTACAAGATAATTAGACAAATGTTCAAATAACTCACAGATAAAAATAAAGATAAAAATCAATGTCCAGGTTTTTAAAGTCAGTCTAAAGGACATTAAACACGTCAAGGTTAGAATGGTAACCTTCAATATAAAAGTTATTGTCCACTGTTAATTAAAGCAGGTAATGGAAATATCACACTCAGGCCCATATTTTAAAAGTCGTCTCAAGTATCGGTTGAACTCTGATTGCCTGAAACTAGTTTTAAGTGCAGATCAGAACTTCGATCGAATGTCGATCTTATTATAGAACGCGTTTTAAGTTTTACTCATTTTAAAACTAGGCGTGGTATTTTTTCTTCACATTTGAATGGAACTAAAAGGGAAATATACCCTTCATCAACATCATCAACAGCCTATACTAGTCCACTGCTGGACATAGGCCTCTCCTTTGAAAAGGAGGTTTTGGCCTACTATACCACGCTGGCCAGACGGGTTGGTATAGGGTTTCTTTCAAGTTTTCCTTCTCTTTGCAGTGCTGTTGTCCTGCTTAGTTTGCTCCCTTAGTCGGCTCTTACGACACCCACGGGATGAATTGGGGTGGTGACAATTTGTATTCTTAATCCGTCACCACATATACCCTTACCAAATAAAAAAGAATTTTCGTAATCGATATACAAATGAGTGAGTTTTGAGGTTTTGAGGACAAACATGAAAATAATTGCGTAACATTTTTGTTTTGTCTAAATGTTTTGTATTCTCTTTTGTGCACATATCTTTGTAACCCAACACAAACACCTAACAAATATCTTGAAAGAAAGAAACAAGGTCAATACATGAAAGAGTTATCCTCTAACTCCTAAAGGTCAAGGTCCCTTCCATCATCAGCTCAGCAACACGACATTACGACTACTAAACGCAAATACCTATATAGCTAGATAAACAAGCTAAAACACGTTGTCACTGTAAAATTTCAGGGTTTCCCTCGATTTCTCTAGGATCCTATCATCAGATTTGGTGGTAATGGGACCACCTCGGGAGCATACCATTTCGATTACAAAAATAATTTTGAAAATCGATCCACAATTGACGTAGATTTCGCGTAATAAACACAAATAAAAAATAAATGCCTGTAAAAATTAAATAATTGTTGTGTAAAAATAATATTTTTTTTAGCTGTATAAACAAAAGGTCTGTGAGACTTTAAATTTTTAGTGTTTCATTATTCGACATACGACCCTATCTATAAACCGTTATGTGGTCTAACATTGCGTGTTTCGTCACACATTACAATGTGTTTTAAACGTACCTATACCAAATAACAACGTTCATAGAGATCACGCAAAACAGCACTCAGTATTGGTTGCAGTGTGTAAAGACATTTAAAAACTACTTTTGTACAGAAATCGCGCTTTTAACAATTTCAAAATGAGTCATTTTCGAAGTAAGGTACGCGGCATGATCGTTTTCTTATGTTACCCAATGATTGTGGTTGACGTTTTCACTTGTTACTTTTTTAACATTGACGCAAATACCTAATGACTGCGTGCTCTGAGGGATTTACTATGACGAAGTCACAACATATACTAATATAGGCTGTTGCTAATCTACCATTACCTCTAGCTCTTTGTGTTCTCAAATTTAGAATATTACTCTAAAGGATAAGCTCCTAAGCTCCTAAGACATGCTACTCTCTATAGTCTCGAAGTAATCCTCTTTCTATACTTATATTATAAAGCAGAACGATTTGATTTTTTGTTAGTTTGTTTGAAATGAATAAGCTCCGAAACTACTGGAGCGATTTTAAAAATTCATTCACCTATAGGAAGGTACATTTTTAGGAGAAATTTTTATACGTAGATTATCAGCAGGTACCATGGGCTATATTTAACCAGACTACCTACTGATAAACAACACAACCAAAAACATACCTGGCTCCAAACAGTCTGCATTTCTACTGACAAACATAAAAATGCAGACTGTTTGAAGCCAGGTATAAAAATTGTTCGACATGAAATAAGTGGCCACGACCGCTATATCCCCAACCACCGCCGTCATGCAACCCCGTCCCCTTGCAACCACGACAGGAGGATGGGTGACCACTGCGGTGACGTGCATCAGTGCCGCCGAGCCGTCCAGGCCGGTCTCCCAGGCAGTCCCGAGAAACCGATGGACATATGGCTCGGCGACAGCGGCGATGTTGATGGACCACTGTGCCATGCTCTGGAGCAGAAGATCCTGAGTCGACTTAGTCGTTCCCGGCTTCGGTCTCGATCCGGGAACGACGAAGTGCCTCTCTATCTCCGCCGTATAGTCGGGGCATATTTGTCGAAGAGAGCCATCGTCTACCCAAGTAGGACCGCGGTCTCGGTAGACGTCAAATGTCGTGCGGTGTTCCACAGGGGTCGGTGTTAGGGCCACTCTGATAGCCACGCGCGGGGTTGCCCAAGTTCGAGGCCTTGTTCCTTCATGGGCCTCGGAGGTGGTCGGGACCTAAGGGATCCAGCCTTAAAGTAGGAGGCACTAGCATCGGCATAGAGCCCTCGATGAGGTATCTGGGGCTCGTACTCGATGGCCGATGAGACTTGGGGCATCATTTCCGAGGTCTGGTCCCAAAGTTGGTTGGAGCAGCGCTGCCCAACATGAGGGGATTCGATGACTCCTGCAGGAGACTTTACTCGGGGGTTCGTACAACCGTATGGACCGTAGTCCATGGCCCTTTATGGGGCCCCAGTATGGGCGGGGCCCCTAAGGCCAGCAACGTCGCATTACTGCGACAACCGCAGCAAGTGCTGGCCATCAGAGTCATAAGGGGGTACCGCACGATCTTCTTTGAGGCAGCGAGTCTCCTGGCCGGAACACCACCGTGGTGGGACCGGAAGGCGAGAGCCCTTGTGGCTCTGTATCAGTGGCGCAAGGAGGCGCGGGAGTTGGGTTGGAGTCCTGAGACTCGAGAAGTCGAGGATCAGAATCCCAACTCCACCGGGTCCTCGTAGAGGAATGGAAGGAACAACTTAGGCAACCGAGCGGCGGGCACGCCATTATCGCGGTAGTAAGACCCATTATAGAGGATTGGTTCGAGAGGCATGACGAGACCCTCTCATACCGGTGACGCAGGTGATCATTGGGAAAGGGTGCTTCGGGGATCACCTGTGTCTGATCCGCCACCACTGCGAAGGTCCGTGGACACACGCTGGCAAAATGCCCGGCGTGGGTGGACCGCGTGGCGTCCAACGGGGTGGGAATCTCTCGCTCGGTAACATGATTGCGGCCATGGTGCGGAGCAAAAGTGCGTGGAACTCCGCCATCTCCTTCATAAGCATAACTTGATTGCTGGGACCGGGAGAGGTTTAGAACTCTCCCGGC